TGTGCGGGCTCTCGTATCCATCCAAGTGTGTGTGTGTGCTATGTATGGAGGCGTTAAAGTTGCGTGTCGACTCAGCCTCAAATGAGTACCTGGTACGATCTGTAAACATCGTCACTGGTGAGACAAAGGCAGCTGGGCGTGGTGCTGGCCAACCACCCCCTCGTGTACTGTTCCGGCCTTCATCAGTGCGACTCGCTAACTGCACTTTCCACAAAAGTCTGTTAAGGCTATACGGGGGGGGGGGGTCTTTGTAATTGTAGGAATGTGTGCGAGTGGTGGAGTCCGGGTCGTGTGTATGGAGTAGGAATGGGCAAAAAATATAGGTACGGTACACCGGTCACATCGATGTTCTGCTTTCGATACATCAATGTTTTGGAACCTGCATGGACAAGACAAGACCGGGCGACCCAGGTTATCTCCTAGGCCACGGCTACCAGACGGTGGCGAATGCTGGGTCTCCCTTCAACCTGCAGTGACCAGCATGGTGAAGTATGGTCGAACAACACTCGTGACCGACATGGCTGGGGAGGTGACCTTAGCCAGCAGTTCATTGACCAAAGCTGTGATGATCATCACATGGGCGAGCATTGATTCCCCTCTCCTCCAGGAATCGAATCTTTTCTGCCTCTCAAACATTGAACACATTCGAGCAGTCCACCAGCACTGCTCGAAGATAGAATGCCCCTGCTGATGAGACAACTGAATGTTTAAAAAAAAACAAATGCGGCTGAAATAATTCACTGCTAGAAGGCGGCCGTGGTGGGCGATGTGATGTGAGAGGGTAAAAAAAGGTTATTTATTTATGCGGCGGAGGAGGAGGGGGCAGATATGGGAAAGAGGCTGTGTATTGTCTGATTATTTCTATACCATTCAACCCTCGATTCCTTTTGGAGACTTGGAATCCAGTCATATGCTAATGCGCTTCGGCCAGGCATGACTTCACTCTGTACACAGCTCTTTCACAATGGGTGAAGCGCACACATAACTCTTTCCACCTCAATGCAGCACCCTCCCCCCCTATGCCTCCCAATTCAAATTTTCATCATGTTACTTTTTTTTTAATTCCAGGGCACACACATACGGTGTCTACATTTTGACTTACACGGTGGTGGTGGTGTAGTTTAGTGCAACAGAATCCATTGCTGTGCTCGGCTACCCGGTCATCCACCAAGCCGTTCCGGTGAAGTATGGTCAAATAAACCGCCCTCCACGATGACGGAAGGCCAGACATTATCCAACAGTGGATTGGCACTAGGCCTGTACCATCTGCACATGGGTCCTCTTTGAATTTCCAAGGTCCGCCAATACAAAACCGTTTCATGTCAAATCAAGTCAACTTAAGAAACAAAAATCTCATTTTTCTCAGGGTGCCACAGTTTCAAGTGCGAACTTCTCGTCAGCCAGCCTCTCTGCCCCATCTCTGTTTTCTGAAGAGTCATTGCCTGAAACGTCAACCTATTATATATTTTTTAAAATATTATTTTACTGATTTAAAGCTTTCGCGACTGCAGTAATTCATATTCTTAGCTCTTTCGGTAAAGTCACGTTGAAGGGAAACAATAAAATATATATAAAACAATATATTTTATAAGATTTTACTGGGTAATGTCAGTGATGGCTGGCGAGTATTATTGACTCGTCTCCAGCGTCTGGTCTGTTGCTCCGTCTCGATGCAGGGCAAATGCAATCGGCCCAACTTCGCAAAAGGTGCAGATAATTCGCAAGGACAATCATCAGGGTTTATTGACGCGTTACAATCATACATTTGACGCGCAAATCAATGTATGCTCATAAATGAACAATTACACGCCTTCACCAAAGCCCCAAAGAGTTAGAGAGTATTTTTTGTTAGCAGTCCCGATTGCAATGTTTAGCCAATGACTTTATATATATATTTTTTTAAGTGCAACATCATTACTGGTGTAAAACAAAAAAAACGGTGCATGGAGAAAAGCCGCACGTACAATGGGCAGAACCACCTACTTGCTGTACTTCAACAAAAATCACGATTCATCATCAGCCGATGATCTATCCCAGGCGTTGGCAACATGCGGCTCATCAAGGGCCCCACCACGTGACCTCGTGTTCACCACGTGACCTCGTGTTTACCACGCAGTGCATCGTGGGCTCTTGAAATATTGAGTTGTTTTTTTAATCCCCTCACCTCTCGTCTGTCTCTCGGTGTAACTCCGAGCGTGTACCTACCTCTCCATGCTCCGGCAACATTACAACAATAACTATAATAGCAGTCTGTACTACTACAACGCTGCACGTTTTCAAAACGCGAATTGGGACAGAACGCAATGAATGTATTCGGGAAGATATTGTTTTTATACGGATGCGAATCGGATATAACGCGATCGAGCGAACAGAACTACGTCGCGCGAGTGGGAATACTGCGCTTTCCCCTACATTATTCACTGTAACGCGATTTTTCCACAACGCGGTGTTCTTCAGGAACGCAACTACCGCGCTAGAGGAGAACAGACTGTAGTAATAATAATGAACAATAAGCCAACGCTCGTGCTGTCGCGTTAGAGAACAGCTGACAATGCTCGGGCCGACAGCCAATCTGTGGCTGGGACCAGTAAAGCTGGGGTTTTAGGGTCACGTTGGTCAGAGGTCAAATGCCACGACTGACCCCGTGCCATTGTGGAAGCTCAGACACTCGGCCGAAAGGGCCGGTGCACAAACAGAAGGCGTCTAGACTGGGGCCTCTTCAAGGATTCGTTGGGACAGCGACACCCCCCCCCACCCCCGTATTGTACGCACAGCAGTTAGAGCACCGCACTGTGAACCCAAAGACCCTCGTTTGATTGCCATTCATGGCTTGACATTCGTGGGGAGTGATACCTCAACCGGTCCTGGACAACCTCTTCACAAACTCCACGCTTACCAGTGATAAAATGTGGTCAATCCACCCCCCCCCCCCCCATGACCGACACAAGCAGTGGGAAAGCCTTCATCCGGCAGCGGATTAATAAAGAGTTGTCAATACATTGATGTGTTATGGACGGCTCAGATGCCGCTGTCGTCGGCCGTGGCCGGAACATCTCAGTTGCTTTGTGGCTGCGCTGAGTGAACCACTGCGCCAATGTCCCCACATCCCCACCAACACCCACCCCCCCCACCTCCCCACGATTTATACAGCCACTGCATGAAACTGCATCTAAAGGAATTGTACATCGTGTGGAAATGTGTCGCAACCAAATACTTTAAACGCGTGACGTCGATGATACATTGCGGAGGGAAAAACCGGAGGCCCCGGAGAAAAATCCACGCGGCCACGGGGAGAGAGAGACACGCAAACTCCAAATACAGGGTGCTTACAAAAATGTTAACACTTTTTACGGGACTATCGTTTTTAATGAAAAAAGAACGGATAATACTACACTGTAACATGATAACGAAGATATTCTTGGTTCTTTCGGTAAAGTCACGTAGAAGGGAAACAATATATTTTTATTTTTGTCATTTTATTGTTTCTCTTCTACGTGACTTTACCGAAAGAACCAAGAATATGAATCCCTGCAGTCACGAAAGCTTTAAATCAAAATGAAAACAAATGTAATGTTAATAGCTTCAAAAAGTCAAGGAGTCTCCCACGTGTTCGTCATCGTTGTCAACACGTGGCCTGGAATCTTCTCCAGGTGGTCTCCAGAGCCCGGAGGCAGCAGCACATGTCACATGGTATTTTACCAAATTCTCGGAACTGTTAACATTTTTTGAAGCACGCTGAATATATACATACGGATACGCGGGGGGGGGGGTGTGGCGGTGGGGTGGGGTGGTAATAGTCAGAGAAGGGAAACACACAGGAGAGAGAGAGAGGGAAACGCTGCAGCACAGCCTGGGACCAAGCAACCAGACCCCGACACCACCACTGTGACAACAACGATGATGAGCCCCTGGGGCAGCCAGGGCAGGACCAAACGAGTCCCTAAGCATCCACGAGACACTGGCACCCATTCACTCACAAGCCCTTAGGGCAGCACAATGAGTTTCAAGGCAACCTCCCCCCGGGGCATGAGACAATGCTCTCGACAGAAGTATGAATACACAACTGCGAGTGGGTCAGACTCAAAGCGACACACAGATGGGTGCACACAAAAAGCCTCGCTGTACCGCCATCTCCTGGCCACCTCGCAGCAGCCGAGGGGATTTGAAGCGGTGACTGCAAAAGAGAGCTATATCAGGCAATTATTGATATCCGTCGGCTTTTTTCACCTTTAATGGAACGTGGTTGAGAAGCAGACTTTACAGAACGACTTTCACCATCGCTCCGAGTGACTTTATCCACACACACCAGAGGGGTCAACGCATTCCCATGCGCTCTGCTGCAGAGGAAAAATGTTCATCACACATCAAAAGCCAACGTTCGATTCCGAGGGAAGGATTTTTTTTTGCTTCCAAAATAAATTGCCGAACCAAATGTATAACGCGACCGTTTGGCGTGCGGTCGTTGGTGACCGAGCTGCGACCATCGGCTCTCTCCACTTGGCAGGATCCTCCTGGGGAAAAAAAGGCATGAGACTTGGTGAGCCTCTCTCCTGGCCAAACAAGTGGGGTACAAACACAAAAATGATCTCATCGGTGGCTGGCTCTGCGCCTATGACCTCCGAGCTACCCAGCCGTCACTTCGCGGGGACACAAAAAAAAACCGAATTCAAAGCGACGATCTTTCTCGATGTGTGAACGTTGAGCGACCGTGCTGACCGTAACCCACTGCCTCTATCCACACTGGAGACCCCCCCCCCGCCCCCCCCCGCACTTACGTCACGGTCGAGTAGCCGCCGACGCCCGGGTTCAAATCCAGGATCTTAACATCCGCAATAAGAGTTGTTTTTTTTTTGGGTTAGATCGCGTAAGTATAAATGTGCGTCGTTAAAGCGGCCCACCACCCGACACGGCCAATTAGTAAGGTTCGTCACGTAAACAGAACGCGGCAAATTCGTTACTATCTTCTTTGGTTCTTTCGGTAAAGTCACGTAGAATGGGAATAAAATAATAAAATAACACAGTAAAATTGTATTCTCATTCTACGTGACTTTACCGAAAGAACCAAAGAAGATGAATCCTTGCAGTCACGAAAGCTTCAAATCGAAATTCGTTACTACTTCGGCACACCGGTTGGGTTGTGTGTTGGAGAGTAAGCTCGCAGCATTTACAATTCGAGTACTGTGACGTTTCGCCGGTGATTACAACCAGCTTCATCAGGCAACCCTCTCCCCCTCCTCCCTGACCACCTCACAGGGCACCACCAACAACAACATCGACAACAACCATACAGTTGACGTAGTAAACGTAACGAGGGGTAAACGGTGTGACGGATGGTTTTTTTTTTTTTTTTAAAGAAAAATCCTCAGCAGGTTCACATGGTGCTCTCGAGTGTGCGGTAGCTGTCCTTGCCCTTGAGCTCCAGGAAGTGTTTGGGTCTCCGCGTGCGGGGCCCCGCCGCCGGCAGGTACGTGACCTGCACGGTGGCGGCTGCGGCGGAGGTGGCGGAGGCCGCCGCGGCCGCGGCGGACGAGGACGACGAGGAAGGGGCGTTGGCGGTGCACGTCGACGACGACGGAGACGTCGGGGAGGCGGGCGACGAGGTCGAGTTGCCCGCGGCTCCCCGCGGGCCGGAGGTGCCGTGCCGCCCGTCCGAGGGAGGCGAGTTGGTGTCGCCGCTCGTCGACGAACCGCCGCCGCCGCCGCCGGGGAAGCCGAGTTCGCGGGCAGCTGCCCGGTGCTGCTGTTGCTGAGCGATCGCCTGCGACTGCACGCTGCGGGGGGTTTCGTCAACACCAGAGGAGCGGCCGTAGTCAGCTGGGCGCAGCGGTGGTGAGATGTTAACTCCGCCGCCTGGTACACAGGACGCCGTGGGTTTGATCCGGACCCCGACGCCTGCCGTATATTTGGGAGTTTTTGCGCGTCTCTCTCCCCGTGGTCGTGCGGATTTTTCTCCGGGTCCTCCGGTTATTCCCCCCACATTTAGCATCGACATCACGCGTTCAGAATATTTGGCCGCTTTAAATGTCCGTGTGATAAGCCGCTTCTCGTGCAGCTATCAATTGCGGCTAGGTGGATTCTGAAAAATACCTATATAGCTCAGTGGGCCTTACCTGGTGAAATAAAAATCAGTTTAGTTTCCAGTTTAGTTTGTTTGCCGTTTACCGAAGGCCACGTCCGAAGCCGTCGCCTTCTGATGGCGTTGCCGGCCAACGCAACGTACGCCAAAAATAATTTACTGCCGCCCCCTGGCCCTGCTTGGCCCCGCCAGTGTATCACGGGTTTGTTACCGGCTCGGCTCGGCAAATAGTCAGCGGGAAAGCACCCATAACCATGCTGGCTTGGCTGGGACAATACAAGACATTAAGTTACACATTCATTGGAATATTATTGCAATGTATATTTTTTCACCCGCTTGCTTACCCATTCATGAGCTCATTCAGGAGATCCATGTACTTCTCAAATTCCACCTCTCCAAACTCCTGGGATGGACAATCAGGACACGGATGTTACATTAATCACAGGACGTTCCTTATAGCCCTTCTGATCTGAGTACCGTCTAACTGTAAATCCGGTACGGGGTTTCCTTAAACACACAACCAGAGCTGGACTTTGCAGATACAGAACCGTGAAGGCCAAGGTTGGTGAATCACGAAGATTTGTGAAAAACTCCAAACCCACTGCACTGCGAAGTTGCCAGGAGAAACTTTTATTTTTTATTTTTACCAGGTAAGGCCCACTGAGCTATGTTGCTCCTTTTCAGAAGCGACCTGGAGACAAATCATAGCTCAACGAAGTAGCTCATCATCGTGCGGAAATTGATAGCAGCCAAATATTCTAAACCCGGTGGTTGTTAACCTTTACTGCAGCCTGCAACCCTCTGCTTCTCAGAAAGGGAATCTCGCACCCCCAGGGGGTGAGCGCACCTCACGTTCTAAACGAATGATCTGAAATGTGGAGGGAAAAACCGGAGGACCCGGAGACAAAAACCACGCGGCCACGGGGAGGCGTCCGGGTCGGGATCGAACCCACGACCTCCTGCATACCAGGCGAGGTAGTTAACATCTCCTAGCCACCGCGGCGCCCCTAAGTGGGTTAGTGAACCCGTCTTAGGGCGAGTAAAAGAGGCCTCCCCACCCACTCCGACCACGCCTCCCTCTACTCGCCTGCGTGCCGTAGCGGGCGTGATCGTAGGCGTCCGCGAACGCGTGCACGGTGCTGTCGCACACCGTCAGCTCCCCCGGGTGGGTCCTCAGCAGGTCGAGAAGGTGGACGCGGAGGTTTCGCGCGTGGCAGCGCATCAGCGGCTCCAGCTCTTGCAGCCGCTCGTCTGTGCCACCCACACCGTGTTGTGTCAGGCGTTAGGGCCCCGCGGTGGCGAGACGTTAACTACCTCAGCTGGTATGCAGGAGGTCGGGTTCGATGTCGACGCTGATGTCTGCTGTATATTTGGAATTTGCGTGTTCTACCTTCCCGTGGTCGCCTGGATTTTTCTCCGGGCCCTCTGGTTTTCACCACGTTTAGATTCAACGCAACGCCTTTTTTTAGTATTTGGCGGTTATACTTTTCAACGCGATGATAAGCAACTCCGTTGAGCTATCACTTGTGGCCAGGTCGCTTCTGAAAAAACAGCCGTGTAGCTCAGTGGGTCTTATCTGGTAAAATAAAAAAAATTTGTTTAGTTTGGAGAAAAAGGCAGCTTAAGTCGAGGGGGCGGGTGGGGGGGTTTCATGCCGAGTGACGAACGTGGCCGGACCGGCGTGGTGCCGGTGTCACGCCGCCCCCTCGTGCACCGTGCTAGCTCTTGCCCAACAGTCTGTTAAAGGCTATACGGGCGATCTTTGTCTTTGTGTGTATGGTGGTGGTGTAGCGGTTAGCGCGCCGCGCTACGAGCCCGGCGACCCAGGTTCGATTCCCGCTCACGGCCAACAACACCAGTGACAAATATCTGAACCGGTCCTGGGCCTCCGCTAGATCGACTCAGCCTCAAATGAGTGCCTGGTGCGGTGTGTCAACATCGCTACTAGGGAGACAAAGGCGGCCGGGCGTGGTGCTGGCCACCCACCACCTCGTGTGCCGTGTCGGCCTTCATAGGTGCTCGCTAACAGCACTTGCCCCTACAGTTTGTTAAAGGCTACACGGGGGGATCTTTGTCTTTGGTGGAACCCAGAATGTTCGACTCAAACCTCAGACAACGCAGCACATGTTCAACTCACCCAGCTGGTCAACAGCATCAAGCGCTTTCATTCTGTACAAGTAGTTATATCCACCTGCAACACAACCCACAGGCACACCGTCAACAGGTCGTGATCTATCCACTGTTGGATGTTGTAGTCCTCCCCCACCGTACCGCACCAAGTTGCTAGAAACTTGCACGTGATAAGCCACTTCACTGAGCTATCATTTGTAGCCAGGTCGCTTCTAAAAAAAGCTAATAGTTCAGTGTGCTTCACCTGGTAAGATAAAAAAAAAAACAGTTTAGATTTATTTGTATATTTTTTTTAAGTGATGTGTTTACCTTTGCTATACTTTACACTCGTACCGTGTTTCTGTACTGTTTGTTGTTGTAACGTTCTGACCCCGTGCCCCTGACTGGACATCTGTGAAATAGAGCTTCGAGGCTCATCAAATTCCTCCAATATAAACAAAGATTCCGATTCCGTCTCGCTCGGCGATCCACGTGGCTGTCCGCACGAACAATCCCCGATTCCGTCGCTCTCTCCCCGAGTCCATGGTGGACGTCTTCTCAGGTGTTGTCCCCTCCGTTGGCTGCCACTTCGGTCGTCGAGTCTCAACCGGTGGTCTCTTCTAGCGTCGCGTCTCGCTCAAACCCATCGGGGAGGCCGCTACTATTAACGATGATGACATTTCGTAGCGCGCCACATTTTGCGGACAATTCAACAACTCAAGAGGCGCGGAGGCAAGCTCAGGGCCGCTCGAAAGCCTGACCCAAACGGATTGAGGCCTTCAGATGTTCCTTGAAAGTCACGGTGCATTTGATGTTGCGGATGTGCAAAGGATATTAAAGTCGGTAAACAAGAAGCCAACGTCACGCGCCCACGGGTGGGGTAGGAACGATCCCCACCACAGGCGGTCGGGTGACCTTTCGCGACTCGGCATCGCGATCCGATTCAAGTGGCGAGTTGGTTTTTAGTGTCTATTCATCTCCTTCGTGTTATTCCATTAAGTTGTGAGCGGGCTGGGCCAGGGTTGGGCAAGAGACGTTGCTCACTTTTCACTCGGGAAGCCGGAGAGCAGAGACTCACCGCTAAAACAACGATAACTTATATTTAACGCACAAGTAAAAACAAATATACTCTGAAGGAGAATTAAAATAAAAACGAATTCAAACATTGATGATTGTCAGTGATTCTCATCATGTTATCTGGGACATTGTTTCAGTATACAATCAAGATATCATTTACAACACCGTTAGATCCATTTCCGAGGAGAGAATTTTTGCAATTTAAATCCAGTGCTTAAACGCCATCTATCTGGGTGCATAGTACGATAGGTAAACTTGTCCTTCAAATAAAAAAAAAATTCCTTCAAATAAAATATCGTGTATAAAGAAGAGATTTAGTTTAATTTGAAGAAATCAACAAGGCGCTTCCTGGAGTGAGGTACCTCGCGTCCGCGATAATATTTCCCTCCCTCGTCTCATTTCTAGGGTTTTGTTCATGGGATGAAGAGTCTGGCAGCAGATATTTTTGATCGATTTTGCAGAGTCGGCGTGAATGCGCGCTCAATCGATCGATTGATCCAAGTTTATCACGCGCTAAATTCAGGCGGTTCTGGTTCCTGTACGATTTAGAGATCGGATTAGATTGAAAATTCCTTTCTTTACAACTGCTTTTTGCGTTTAGTTCGTCATCCTTCCCCCGCACCTCCGATTAGCACGGTTGGCTACGTACGGTGCGAGAGAAGTTCAACACGCATACCCATGTACTGTATTGTTATTGTGGGCACTACATCTGGCTGTGGGAATGCGCCACAAGGGAAGTTTACGCACAATTTGGCCCGAGCTCCTGCAGCTGCTGAAGGCGTGGGTCGGACTCCGTCAGGAATTTGGGCGCCCACGACAGCTCCTGGATACGACTCAGCCGCCTCTCTATCTCCTCCCTGAGATCCTGGAGACGCACAAAGACAAACATCCCCCCCCCGCCCCCGTATAGTCCTTACCACACTGCATTGGCTTCCGGTTTCTGAACGAATACATTATAAGGTTGCACTCATTACCAAGTGCTTTCCACAAATGAACCACAATACCACGCTGATCTCGTCGAGGAGTATAAACCATCACACGAACTCCAGTCATCGTCGCAGCAGCTTTTGGCTAACCATCGCACAAAGATGGTCACTGCATCGCGCGCTCCAGATGCGCTTTCTGCGGCCGTTTGGAACGCCCTTCCTTCCGATGTTAGGAAGCCATTGGAGCTATGTGCTTTCAAATCAAGATTGAAAACTTACTTCTTTCGAACCGCATTTTTTTGTTTAGTTTGTTGTCCTTCCCCCGCACCTCCGATTTGCACGGTTGGCTTCATATGGTGCGAAAGAAGTTCAACATACATACATGCACTGTTGGTGGGATAAGTGTTGTTAGCGAGCAGTACAGTAAAACCTTGAATTGCGAGTAACTTGGTCTGAGAGTGTTTTGATAGATGAGCAAAATTGTTAAATATGAATTTGATAAACGAGCGAGGTCTTGCAATACGAGTAGTACATATACGCTTTGTCTGCCGAGCGTCACGTGATCACAACTGATATACGAGTGCTTTGATATACGAGTGCTTTGGATTACAAACACGTTACCGGAACGAATTATGCTCGCAATCCAAGGTTTTACCGTAGTACCTATGAAGGCCGGCACGGCACACGAGGGCGGTGGGTGGGTGGCCAGCACCATGACCGGCCTCCGTTTCCCTCCCCATGTTTACAAACCCGCACCAGGTACTCGTTTAAGACTGAGTCCAGCTAGGGGAGGCCCAGGACTGGTTTAGATATTGGTCGCGAGCGGGAATCTAATTCAGGACGCTGGGTGCACTAACCAATACACTGCCACTCCCCTGTAGAAACGCACATGGACACACACACACCACGCTCTTAGAGCCAGAGCTCCAGAGGTCTTGAGAATTAAACAAACTATTTGGTGCTGGCAGTGGTAAACAAGTCGAAATAACAAAACACTCAAGACATCCGTCAACAACGCCGTGTGTCCTTAAAAGGAAACAAATATTGAATAGCCGACGTAAAGGGCAAAGTCACGTCTTCATTACGCATCAATGGGCTCACCAAAACGTGAATAAGGGCCAAAATACTACCTGTTGTATATTTTTTTTTACTTTTCAGGCCAGTGTTATTGACGAATGCGTCGAGATGTCACGAGGAAGGCTACCATTCGGAACGGGGCACACGGAGGTCATGGTGAGCACGGGAAATCTATGAACTAAACTATTTTCTATTTTATTTGATCAGGTAAGGCCCACGTAGCTATACCGCTCTTTTTCAGAAGCGACCTGGCTATCACAAATGATAGCTCAACAAAGTCGCTTATCACGAGGAAATTTATAGCGCACTCTTTGGTTCTTTCGGTAAAGTCACGTAGGTAGAAAATATAACAGATCACGACGTTTCGGTCGCGACCGTCATCAGGCGGACGACGGATGACGGTCGCTTGCGTTGCGATCGAAACGTTACATCGTGATCTATTATTATTTTTTATACCTACGTGACTTTACCGAAAGAACCAAAGAGTATGGATTCCGGCAGTAACGAAGGCTTCAAATCAAGATTGACAACGTATAGCAGCCAAACACTCTTAAACGAACGTTGATTCTAAATGTGGAGGGAAAAACCGGAGGAGTAAAATCCACGCGACCACGGGGAAAGAGAAACGCAAAGTCCAAATATACAGCAGGCGTCAGGGCACGGATAAAAACCCACGACCTCCTGTATACCGTGCGAGGGAGTTAACATTCTCACTACCGCGGCGCCTAAAATCGCGAATTTAAATGAAGCCTAAAAGCGAACTTTAGCAAATTACTCTTAGCAACACATTAGGGTTAAGCGCTTCCTGGATTGATTTCCACAAAAAAAAACGTCCGCACATCATTGCGCTGAAAATACAAAGATATGTATCTGTACGTTTAGAAAATCCCTCTTCACCTTGGGTGCGTTGTGACCCACGGCCACATGCGGGCCCCTGTGACTTCGCATGGTGAAGCGCATGATCTGCCGCTTGGCGAAGATGAAGAGCAGCACGAAGACCTGGGGCCGCAGGAAGAGAGACAAAGACGGCTCAGCCGTCGCATTCGACGTCGTCTTTTCGCGTGCGCACACACAACGTGTACCTGAGCAGCGGCTAAAGGGTGCAGGCCCTTAGTGGGACTTGGCACACGAACCGCTGGAGAGATTCTCCAGACGTCGCTCTTCACTAATTTTCACAAGGGAGGCCCGCTTTCGCCGATAATGAATGCACCCGACTTAAAACTTTTCGCGACTGCAGGAATTCATATTCTACGGCACTTTCGGTAAAGTCACGTAGATGGAAAATAAAACATACAGTTTTAAATATTTGTATTGTAATTTTTTTCATTTTTATTATTTTTTTCTTTTCTTTTCTATCTACGTTACTTTACCGAAAGAACCATAGAAAAATTAATACATCATCAGTGTGAGGGTTTGACCTGAGCACGGTGATGATGATGGGCGTGACCTCATGTTGTGTATCGTCTGGGGCCGCACTAAAGGCCCACCAGGGATCGTCAGTGGCCCAGCGGGCACTGCAATGAAGACCGCCGATTCAAGGAATGAACTTTAAACCTCGAAGTTCTGGGAGTGGATGGGGTGGCTCAAGAGGTTCAGCGCGCTTTGCCTGGCACCGCTCAGGGCCAGGGTTCGAATCCAGATTTCTGCCGCACGTAATTGAACTGGTTAGCAAGGATTGGACAACTCACCCTCACCTCCTACCACTCGCCACCTCACACACACACTACACACTAGGTAAAGCCGAGTTTCAAGATCCAAAACCCCCATCTCTCACGTTCACCCAAGCGACGCACCTCACTCGCAGGCAAGGTAAATATTCACCCACCCTCACCTCTCTTGCCGTCACTCAAGCTCAACCAACTCACCCTCACCAAAGCTCGCCTCTCTCTCTCTCTCTCCCTACAAACCCTTACCTCTATACCCTCGGCCAAACTAAACCCTAACCCTCACCTATCCTCACCCCGTTACTCACCAGGGCTCCGTACGCGATCACGAGCACCGCGTTCACCCCCGCGATCCTGAACCGCTGCCCCTCCTGACTGCTGCTGTTACCGGCCATGGTAACAGCGCGGGGCGTGAGACTCCCCCCGGGCGTGAGGCTCCCGTGAGGCTCCCCCGGGCGTGAGGCTCCCGTGAGGCTCCCGTGAGGCGTGAGGCTCCCGTGAGGCTCCCGCGAGGCGTGAGGCTCCCCCCGGGCGTGAGGCTCCCGCGAGGCGTGAGGCTCCCCCCGGGCGTGAGGCCCCCGTGAGGCTCCCCCGGGCGTGAGGCTCCCGTGAGGCTCCCCCCGGGCGTGAGGCTCCCGTGAGGCTCCCGCGAGGCGTGAGGCTCCCCCCGGGCGTGAGGCTCCCCCCGGGCGTGAGGCTCCCCCCGGGCGTGAGGCTCACGCGAGGCGTGAGGCTCACGCGAGGCGTGAGGCTCCCGCGAGGCGTGAGGCTCCCGTGAGGCTCCCGCGAGGCGTGAGGCTCCCCCGGGCGTGAGGCTCCCGCGGGCGTGAGGCTCCCGTGAGGCTCCCGCGGGCGTGAGGCTCCCGCGGGGCGTGAGGCTCCCACAGGCTCCCGTGAGGCTCCCGTGAGGCTCCCACAGGCGTCAGGAAGAGACTGTGTGTACAGTACGTGTATCGATTCACAAATTCGCGCTCCTTTGAAACTATTGCGGAGTCGAATGTTGTCGATTCCTCTTGGTCACACCCATGCCTGTTTATTGGACCTGTGGTAGTACCTGTTCCAACAACGTTGATAGTGCTGTTTGTTGCTGGCTGTTTTACTCTCTCGCCCCGGGTTCAGAAACTTTCAGCAATCGATTCTTACATTTACGATTCCACCTTGGTACCCGTTAATCGCGAGCCTATTTGTTGAAGTACACGTATCGATTCTAAACGCGATCGACTCCGAAACTCGCAAAACGGGAAGCGATATCGGAATCGCGTAAGAATCGAGAATCGATTCCTGTATTGAGACTTTTTTTTGACAGCTCTGAGCTGAATTTTGATTTAAAGCTTTCGTGACTGCAGGGATTCATATTCTTAGTTCTTTCGGTAAAGTCACGTAGAAGGGAAACAATAAAATATAAAACAATACAATTCTCACGACGTTTCGACTGCAACACAAGCAATCATCATCAGGTGTGAAAACCACAACAAGAAAATTATTTTTTTAACGTCAGCACCACGGAGAGCGATTTGACAGTTATTCAGATGGGCCAGTCCATCTATGTTCGGAAAAGAGGAGGGGGGAGACGAAAATAATGAAAGCCACCGTAAGCGTGAACAATCAATTAAGACCCGAAATGGTTTATCAAATCCTTCCAATGATTGCTAAGCCAGAATCCATCTTCTCGGTTGAAATTGTCTCTGTGTTTATATATGTGGATAGCCTCATGAACGAATCTCTCATGGGAGACAGATGGCTTGCAAAGAACCTCTGTCTTGGAGAAGTCAATGTCATGTGAGCCTACTGAATTATAACAGTGATCTGCCACGGCCGAGGTGTTGGTCCTACCGTGTTTTAGGTCTGCTTTGTGTTCACGAATGTGGTCTGAGACATGTCGATTGGTTTTTACAATGTAACTACTACCACAGAGGCATCTACAAACTAAGTTGCCTCTGTGGTAGTATTTACATTGGAGAAACCAAACGACATGTCTCGGACCGCATTCGTGAACACAAAGCAGACCTTAAACACGGTAGGACCAACACCTCGGCCGTGGCAGATCACTGTTATAATTCAGTAGGCTCACATGACATTGACTTCTCCAAGACAGAGGTTCTCTGCAAGCCATCTGGCTACCATGAGAGATTCGTTCATGAGGCTATCCACATATACAAACACAGAGACAATTTCAACCGAGAAGATGGATTCTGGCTTAGCAATCATTGGAAGGATTTGATAAACCATTTCGGGTCTTGATTGTTCACGCTTACGGTGGCTTTCAGACCCCATCCATTATTTTCGTCTCCCCCCTCCTCTTTTCCGAACATAGATGGACTCGTCCATCTGAACAAACTGCCAAATCGCTCTCCGTGGTGCTAACGTTAAAAATAACCGCCACTTTTTTCAAATTTTCTTGCTGTGGTTTTCATACCTGATGATTGCTTGTGTTGCAGTCGAAACGTCGTGATAATTTTATTGTTTTATATTTGTATTATTTTGTTTCCCTTCTACGTGATTTTACCGAAAAAAACAGGAATATTGCTCTGAGCTGGTGGAAATTCCACGTTCCGATGGCGGGGTAAAGTCCATCCATTGAACAACTGCAAAGTAGTAGTTCATTTATCGGCCCTGGAGGGTCGATGGGCTATCATCCCGCTCTATCCACCCGGCTCTACCAAACCCCGTACACACCCTATACATCCCCACAAAGTGGTAGTCATTTTATCAACTACGGTGTGATGATGGACTGAGTCAGCAGGATTTGAATTCTGCTCGCTTTACCACTGAGCCGCCTGGCCAGTTTGCACCGCGGTGGCTTGTGGGTTCACACCACCACAGACTGATTCTATTCACCAGAATATAAAAGTACAATAAATAAAAAACATTTATTTTTAAATCGAATCAGGATTTGTGATTATTCATGGAATCTTTGATAACGTTCGTCAAGACTAAATAATTATGACCGGACATATCACACCACAATTTAGGTTGTTATTGAAATTGTTTAATTTCAACTTGACAGTCATTCGTTTAAAAATATGCACGGCGACATTGTGAGCAGCAGATGGCAGTGCCGAATTCTAATTTCGTCCTTGCATTTTCTACGATTCTACTTTCCAATGATAGCAAGCCACCAAACTCAAAAAAAGTACAAGTTCAAACACTGGCTCTGGTTTCCGTTTCCATTGCAGCTGTTAATATTAACAAAATGTATCCGCAATAAAACCAGGTACAACTCGTTAAGACATGTTGCTAATCACGCTCATCTCTGAAAGACTCGTTTTGATGCATTTGATTGAAAACGGTTTACCGAGCTAAAGGAAAAGTAACCACGTAACTTTTGTCGAAAGGTATTTGAAATGCCCTTCCCAAGGGGGGAACGGTTTCCCAACCCTGAAATCGAGTAACGACATTAATTTATAATACAAACGTACAAAATGGCAGGCTGAGAAACGAGCATTCAAAACGTGCTCACCGCAGCCCGTGATCCTAGCCAAGGAAAGCGTTTACGCTGGGAGCTTAGACGGGACACGTTCCCCCGTTGCAGCCGATGAATACCACCCAACGTTTCTCCACTGCGCGGGGTTTTTCGCGGCTGCGCCTCCGCGTGGCTCTCGGTTGTTGCGTTTTTGAGTTGTACCGCGTGCGGTTCGGCACACGGTGCCCGACGACGTTTCGTTACCACGGAGCCGTGGGGCTTATTCTGGAGCCGAAGCAAAATTCATCCCTGGAGAAGCGCGTGGGGTGAAAACGTCGGGACGTCAAACCGAGCACGCGGTACAAAATACAAAAAAAACACAACGGAGAGTCGCGATTATCTTTCCCGGCTTGTTTGAGAAGAGAGTCGCGTGTTGAGAGGGAACCGAATGGGACACTCAATCACCCGAGCGTCACTGCAGGTCAAATTCCTCCTCGCTCGAGATGTCGTCCTGCCAAACGAAAATGTAAAATCACAAAACAATAAACACGCTTCATAAACAAGCACGTCTCTGTACGTTAACGAACGTACATACGTACCATATCCCACTCGCTGGGGATCGAGGTATCATCTAAATAAAGCAGACTGTTTTGAACATTAGAAAATGATTTGTTTTTTAAAAGTGAATGCGCACGAGACTAGTAACACATTACCGTGCGTGAAAAGGTCACATTTTCGAACATGTATAGAAAATCATAGTTTCATTATGAAAAAACAATGATTCAACTTGTAACGCACCACACGGTATGGGGCAATCCATTTAGTAGGTCCGCAAAAATCTGTCAAAACTTGACCCCTCCCCCCCTCCCTGTACGCACGCGGACTTTTTACACCCCCCCACCCACCTGCGTACATTCGCCTGACGCACCCCCCCCCGAATCCTATAGAACGGCCGATATTTAATCCACACAGAAACGATCAATGATTAATAATAATAACGTGTTTCAGCAAACAGATAGTCCACCGCCAGACTATCTAACTCATCTGAAGGCCAATGTAGATAAATTATTATCGAGGCTTCACCCCCCCCCCCCGTTTCCTATGCGTACATTGTCAGTAGACCCCTGCCATACGCAAGCGTACGCATTTGGGTTAACCCCCCCTCCCCCCTCCATGTGTACGTACTAGTTGGATGGGCCCTATTCATTCCCTCTGGATGAGCAAGAACTGCAGTTAAGCAGGAGACGAAGTAGCCAGGTGGCAAGCTGACGCCACCAATTGCCCAAGCTCTGTGGCCCTCTACACATTAAGATGTTTTCAGCCAATCAATGAGTCTTTATACATTTGGGAGGAAACCAGAGTGCACGGAACAAACCCAGCCATGTGAGGGGGAAACACTCTAGCCCATACAGGTGGAACAGGCGGTCGGATATGCGACGTTGTACTCAATGATGTGAGTGAATTTACAGAGAAATCAACGGGTCTACCAAGTTCACCTTTTGCAGTTTGGCCTTTTTCTGCATGTTTCCGTCCGAGTGGTCATCTTGAGCGGTCTTGCGCTTATTCCTGAAGGAAAGCAGGAAAGCGTGTCACCAGCTCCGCAGTGCGGTGGTTCATTGTATCTACAAGCATCGTCATCATTGCCACAGGATATCCCAGGTGAGCAGGGAGTGGTGGCACAAAGGGGTAGTCAGACACACAGAGAGACTTGGAAATCGCGAGACACACACGGAAACAGAGACACTGAGACGTACACAAATAGAGACAAAGACAGCAAGGGAGACACAGAGGCATGGAGGGAGACATCGACACACGGATTACAGTCACAGAAACACGAAGAAAGACACAGGGACAAAGATACACAGAGAGACAAAGAAAACAACATCAAAGGAAACGACGACGACAATAACACACTCAGAAAATAAGACACAGAGACACCGGGACTTACGGACACACGTACAAAAGACACAGAGAGACACTGCGTGACGTGAGCTGTGGGATGGCGTACAGGCCACAAGGTGAACCCAGGGCCTGGCAGTGAGCGGCACACTGCTCCAGATGCTGCTTGATGGTCACCACCATCTCCGCTTTTGGCAGCTCCACACACTTCACCATCTTCCGGAGGTCTGCAACAGCAGCAGCAGGAGCAACAGCGATAGCAGCAGCAGCAGTGATAGCAACAGTGGCAGCAGCATCAGTAATAGCAGCAACAGGAGCAGCAACAGCAATAGGAACAACAGCAAGGTCAATGATAGATACAAATATGACACAAAGTTTAACGTTAACTCTCTTGAAATTATTTTTTTTTTCATTAATTTTACCAATTGATTGTATCAATATAATGATATCAGCAGGGGATTGCTGGGTGGCTCAAGGGTCATAGACTGGGTCAGAGACACTTAGTCCATTAGTAGGTACAACCCAAGGTAGAAATCTTTAGTGGTACCAATTTATTTATACGACTAATAAAAGTGAATTATTTCATAACCCACTCATGTCAAGTGGTTATCACATGATTCACTGTTATTGGCCACACAAAGAAACGGGAACCACTTAAGAGTTATGCCACCTCAGGTGAGACTGACAAGTAAAATATCTGATTTGGGCTCATGGGCTGAACCAGCAAAACTGAGATCCTAGGATCAAACATGGGCAATCCTTCTTGAGCTTTATAGGTAATGGGATTTTTCCAGGATAAATACAGATTCTGCTTCTGGTGAAACTGGAACTCGAGTGTGGCGAGTTGGAGTGTAAAAAAAAATGGCATTTACTAGCCGAGGAAAGCCTCACTGAGTGTCGTACATATTTTTTCTGGAGGGTCCTGCCACGTTTTCACAGCAGGGGGCGATAACACGATGAAACAAGATTTTTTGTTCCTAATTGCTTATGCATCAAAAGTACAAAAAATGGCTATTATTCCCCAAAAACTTTGCTTTTGTGACCAGGACTTTATGTGAAGGAATGACACAAATGCACACCACGTTTTCTCATTGAAAATAGGTACATTTCAAAATATCATGGTCCTGGTCACAAAAGCAAAGTTTGTAGGGAATAAACAGCCATTGTCTGTACTTTTGAGGCATAAGCAATTATGAAATAACACTTACTACCCAGGAACAAAAAATATATATATATTTTTTAAATATATTTTTTTATTATTATTTATTGTTTCCCTTCTACGTGACTTTACCGAAAGAACCAAGAATATATAGATTTCTTTCTTACACAGTGTAAAAAAGTTGTTGCTGTGTGCAATCCCAACCGATACACCTGCGGAGGTAATTTTCACGTTTGGCCAATTTGGACTGCGACGGCGGCACACGATGCCTGACCCTCGCGAGCAACGTCACGTGATCTTTAAACGTCCGCTGTGTCAATACACCCCGCAGTCATAACCACGGTGAACCGCTGGATAAGCGGCGTGCCCTGCGCGTAGACAGAGAGGTCCACTGCGACGGCATTGCTTTTGGTGGCCGTTTTCTGACACGTGGTAGTACACCGCTCTCTGCGTGAAATGACTCCGCCACGCCTCGCCACGCGACGCCGATAAGGCCCACTCGGGATAAAACTGCTGCGGACAATTCGGGGGCGGTGCGACGTCGTCACGGTTCGCTCGAAAACCCGAGGGAGCAGAGACTCACTCTGCACGGTGTCCATCAGACAGGTCATGTCTTCCTTGAACTCGTCACCGCACAGACACTCCTTTATGTATCTGCGTGAAACGGAGGCGGCGACAAGAGGGTTCGTCACGGAGTCGAGCGCGGCCGCTGAGTGTTGCCCCGCCCACCCGACCCCCCAACACCGCGTGGGTTTTCTCGGGGCGCTCCAGTTTCCTCCCACAATGATGCAGGGGTTTTTTTGGGGGGGGGTTCAGATCGCGGAAATACAAACGTGCGTCGTTAAAGCGGCCCACCACCCGACACGGCCAATTAGCAAGGTTTGTCACGTAAACAAAACACGCCAATTAGTTACCACTTCAGCACACCGATGTGTTGGAGAGTAAAACCACAACATTTACAATTCGAGTACTACGATGTTTCGCTGGTGATTACAACCAGCTTCATCATGCGATAGCCAGGTTTAACGACACATTTCTATCTACACGATCTAACCTAAAAAAACCCGTATTATGGATAATATTGGCCGCGAAAGCCTAGTTATTAACCCGTTCCCGTTCTGTACATGTACGTCATCAGTTTTTCTTCCGATTCCGTTCTGATTATGTACATGTACGTCATCAGAACGAAACTGATTCCGAACAGAATCAAAAGTAAAAGGCCACGCGGGAGGGCGCGTGGCACAGTTTGGCGCCAGCTATCGTAGAGCGCGGTTGTGTCACTACAGTTCTCTGCGGTGAGCGCAGTACAATATCTTTAAAAACAGCGGCGCTACGCCTCTCCAAAAAAAAAAAATCAACGCTGAAACTGCTCGCGCGTTCCTAGATTCGGCGGCGTCAACCGGGGGAGCCGCCCCGCAACTTCCAGGCGTCTCGGAGCAGGGGAAAGGGGGTTTTACGGACGGCATTCACCGCTCGATGGAGACGGAGGTGTGCGATGCTCCGGTGAGGAGGGCCGCGAGGGCGATCTGCGCGGGGCTCGCGAGGAGGCACGCGTCCGTCGACAGCGCTCGCTGCAGGAACTCCTCGGCCCCTTTACGCAGAGCCTCGGCCTGCGCGACTTCAGCAAAGTTCGTCTGCCGTTGGCGGTGCCGTCGACGGCACAAGCGTAAGGGGGTAAACATCGATTCGCCGTTTAATTTGTGTTTTTTTTTTTTTGGGTTGGTCACGTAACGGTCTGTTAACAAATTCCGGCACAGTTTTCCTGATGGAGCTGGTTGTTATTACCGGCATAATGTCACGGTACTCAAATTGTAAATGTTTGTGACTTTACTCTCCAACACGCTGGTGTGCTAAAGTAGTAACGTCACAGACAACCTTACTGATTGGCTGTGTCTGGCGGTGGTGGGTTTACGACGCATTTAAATGTACGCAATTCAACCCAAAAATACTTTTATTACGAGTAACAGTCTGGCCAAACACGTGTCATAACACCCTCCACCAGCTGATACATTGGACACGGCCGAAAAATATTTGAGCCCTCAAATGGGCAGGCGAACATGTGTGTACACCAGGGGTCTGTCCGTAAACTATAAAATAATTAAAATTTTACCAGGTAAGGCTCACTGAACTTTCGATCTTTTTCAGAAGCGACCTGGCCAAAAAATGACAGCCTGACAAAAGTGGCTTATCACGTGGACATTTATAGCAGGCAAATACGCGAAATAAGGAGGGGAAAAACCGGAGGACCCGGGAGAAAAATCCACGTTGACCACAGGGAGAGAGAGAGACGCATGCAAACTCCAAATATACAGCAGGCGTCAGGCTGGGGAACGAACCCACGACCTCCTGTATACCAGGCGAGGCAGTTAACATCTCGCCACCGTGGCGCCCGTCCGCCCGCCCGCCCGCCCGCCCGTGTATCTCCATGGCACCGCATCGCCCGCACCTTGATGTGAATGAGGAAGCCCTCCAGCGGGCGGTAGGGCGTGTGAACCGTGAGGTGGAAGCGCAGCTCCTGCGTGAGCAGCAGCTCGTGAGCCAGCACCAGCTGCAGCGCCTGCTCGCGCCCGCTCTCCGCCTCCTGCTGCAGGTTGCCCACAAACTGCGCGCTCGACACGTTGAACTCGTCCGCCTTGCACGCCAGGAAGGCGGCCGTCAGCCTTTCGCGGGAGGGGAAGCCGGGTGGCGGCGGTGGTGGTGGTGGGGGGTGGGAACGTGTTTAAGGAAATTGTGAGTATGTGCGACCGTTCCAACGCGAAGCAGTAGGGAACCTACGGGCCGTGACTTCCGTTCCACGTGGCACACGGCCCCCGTGAGGCCTGTCGCCACCAGTAGTGAGACGTTAACTACCTCGCCTGGTTTATAGGAGGCCGTGGGTTCGATCCGACCCTGACGCCCGTTGCATACTTGAAGTTTGCACGTTCTCCCCGTGGCCGCATGGATTTTTCTCCGGGTCCTCCGGTTTTTCCCTCCGCATTGAGAAACACGCGTTTAGAGTGTTTGACTGCCATCAATTTCCACGTGATAAACCACTTGGTTGAGCTATAATTAGTGGCCAAATTGCTTCTGAAAAAGAGTCACATAGCTCAGTGGACCTTAGCTGGTAAAATAAAAATTGTTTAGTTTAGTTTTAGAAACGGCCTGCGAACGATAATTATAATCCGTCGCCGCAAGCACCTGAACCGTGCGCCGACTTTGTAACTGCGACCCGACATCAGCAACGTGTCAGGGCGGTTGGATTGGTTTAGGATCTAGGGTTAGTGCAGGGGTGAGGAACCTATCGCGCGCGACTTCATTTCATATTTCATTTCATTCAGCCCGTGACTTTATTTCAAATGGCTTGCGGCATAATTTCATACGGACCGTGAGTTCATTTCACATGGCCAATGGCTTTATCATTTCATGCGGCCCACGATCACATTTTAAGTTTTTGTTCAGTAACCTTGTACTTAAGATGTGAATGCATAGCCCGTACATTGGTATTCACGAATGAATGTTCAGCATTCATCAAATTAACTCATCACTTAAAGGTAATGTTGCATTTTACCCTGATTCACGCACATGCTCTACTTACTAAAAAACATTGAAGCATAAACTACTGGTCACACCGCTGTCAGAACTGACCTCACTAATGGAATGTGATAACACTCACAGGATGTTGCGTGGATGATATTCCATCACCGAGTTGTTGAGATAAAACCTCTTAAAGTAGCAGCAGGCGATAGCCTGCAAGTCACACACATGGGAGACACGAGTTACGTCATTTATTTATCCCGTTGTCTTTTTTCCAAATGTTATTACAATCATGCCAAAGGCGTCACGGGCGCAAAGCCCTGCAGCGGGAGTCGAACCTGTGTGGAGCGGGGCATGGGCGGCTTGAACTTGGTGCACAGATCTTGGAGGCAGCGCTCGTAGTGACGACACAGGGCGAGCTCCTCCGACGGGGAGAGAAGCAAAGAGTCGTTGACGGGGCCCTGGGAGCGAGCGGTGGATGAGCGGTGGACACGCAGGGGAGGGGTGGACGCACACACATTGCTGAAGATTCCTCAGGGTTCCGTGGAAGTGCATAGGGCCCAGAGAGACAAAATAAAAAAAATTAAAATCGATCTTTCAATTGTGTTATTGGCATCGGGTCGTGGAGATGAAGGATCCGTTTTGATATCTCGCAGAGAGCAGCGAGACCCTTCGTCGCGAACAACCAATGGCAGTGATCACCAACAGAGCTTACCTCCAAGATCCTTTCAAGTGCACACTTTGTAATGTAGCCAAAACCAAGTACACAACTAAATCTAATGGGATGGATTTACTTTTTTGCAGTTGTCCATGACCTGGTCGAGCCCATGAATTCAATGCACTCGAGAACCCGGTTCACAATCGCAGGTGGCTGAAACCCAGATTTGAAGGACAGGATTGTCAGCGGCGATGGCTCAGCGTCTCCCAACTCTTAAGTCACCTGTCACCTGTCCAGCTCAATTAACCACCTCGCCTGGTATACAGGATGTCGTGGGTGTCAATCCCGACCCTGATGCCTGTAAATGTGGAGTTCACATGTTCTCCCGAACGTCACGTGGATTTTTCTCTGGGTCCTCCGGTTTTTCCCTTCACATTTAGAATCAAAGTGCGTTTGGGAGTATCTGGCTGCTATACATTTCCACAGATGACAAGCCACTTCGTTGGGCTATCATTTGCGATAGCCAAGTCACTTCTGAAAAAGAGCTGTATAGCTCAGTGGGCCTTAACTGGTATGATAAGTAGTCCATCGGTTAAGTGACATCGGTTAAGGTTTTTTTGGTTTATGTTTTGCCTCCCATAGGACCCCCATGGTTTCGGCTGTTAAAATTTTCACTAACGCACGCGGGCGCCAATTTCGGCCAATCCGAGCGCTGTCAAAGTGGGCTGAGCATGCCTCAGCCGATCAGCAAAGCCCATTTATGAGCGTTTAGACCTCGGCTGGCTTTGTTAACATTGTTTTATGTTTTGGCAGTAAAAAAACACTCCCTTGCAGACTCACGTAATTCGTATATATTCGATGCTATTTCGGTTAACCGTAGTTTTCGTGGAACGGATTAAAAACGCTAACCCGAGGGGACTACCGTAGCTTAACAAGTTTTTTAGTTTCTCCTACCTCCGAACAGACATCACTGAATTCAATCATCGATGCAGGGAACTCGGCTCCCACACCTTAGCATTCTTCCTGAGCTTCGTCTTGAACTTCTCGTTGGCCTCCCGCCTTAACGCCGCAATCTCCTCCTCCGTCCTAAAGGTCCAGTGCGTCTTCTGGGTGCTGCTGTGGTACATCGCGACCGCCTGCTCGCTGCTGTGCGGACGAGAGCGGAGGGTGGAGAGAAAAGTGAAAAAGTAATTTTTTTAAAACTTCTTTAAAAACACACTTTCACGAAATGTACCGTACTAGTAATGGAAGAACTCCACGACTCCACGTCAGGGGACCGTGTGCAATTACAGCCAACGTCAGTTGACCGTGGACAATTAGAGCCAAGCCGAAACATAGAATAGAATATACAAAATAATGTTTTAAAATATATTTTTTTTATTATAGAATATAGTATTGTCATCAGTATGACATACGTATACCAAGTTTGCAGTCGATACCACATTGGGAAGTGGGTTAAAATTGAGTTACAAGATTTGAGGATACAACAACAGAGTGAGTTAAATAAAATCGTGTAATAGTAAAAAAATATATGGTTGGGTTATGGGCACGGGGGGGGGTGACAGCTGAGCGTAAATGTTAACCTTTGGTGTGAATCGTGCGGTTTAGGTGAGGAATAGGTAGTGTGGCTGGTAATTGTGGTTATGGTTCTAAGTATTTAGCTTTAATTTAATTTATGGCATGTTACAGTTCAGAGATATGACTTGGTAGAGATGAAGGTTCGTGCGGTCGGGGTTTAAGAGTCGTGTTACAGGTTAAGAGTTGTGCAAGAGCTTGTTCGGCTCACGCACTCTCTCCTGTACATCACAGCACAAACATAATCATTATCCGCTGCTGGATGACGCCCTTATCGCCACCCGTCTTATAATGAAAACCCCACACGTGGCAAAACGAAGGCGCATTATTCCTATATTATTATTATATAATAAACTAATACATAATAAATACATAATAAACTAATATATAATAAACTGATACATAATAAACTAATACATAATAAACTATTATATAATAAACTATTATATAATAATCTTAATGCGCGAGGCGGGGCGGGTGGCTCACGTGGTCGGCGCGCGCGCCGTTCCCAAACCCCGTGCACGGCGCAACACGCGCTGGGGGTCACCACTTGACCCCAGTGGTGAAGTATGGTCGAGCGGCCCTCACGGGCGTGCACCGGCGTTGGGGGGGAGGGGAAGAGGAGGGGAATGGAATGGCCCCTGAATCCCGACGGCGGCGGCGGCGAGACTCCCACAGTCACCACGCGGCTTGAGTCGACGTTCAAGTCGTACTCGCGTAACTTGCGAGCGCAGGGGCATTTCCAGGGTTCAGGCGACGCGTTGCGACGATCGAGGGCAGAGGCCTCGCCGAGCCGAGCAAATTGATTTTGCTCGCAGCAGCAGCAGCAGCAAAGATAAAGACACCCGTGTAGCCTGTAACAGACTGTTGGGGCAAGTGCTGTTAGCGAGCAGCACTCTACGAAGGCCGGCACGGCACACGAGGTGGTGGGGGTGGCCAGCACCACGCCCGGCCGCCTTTGTCTCCCACAGTGGCGATGTTTACACACCGCAACAGGTACTCGTTTGAGGCTGAGTCTACCTAGGGGAGGCCCAGAACCGATTTAGATAATCGTCACCGGTGTTGGCCGTGAGCGGGAATCGAACTCGGTTCGCCGGGTTCGTAGCGCAGCGTAGCGCTAACCGCTGCACCACCGCTCCCCATCACCACGCACATACAGCACACACAGCACAAACCACCCCAACCCCACAGCAGAACTTAAGCAGCGAGAGAATAATGCGTAGAGCTCACTTTACCCGCAAAAAGGGGCGAGCGTTATGTTGAGTTCCAAACGCTGGGCGTCTTCGTCTTTAATTTGGACGACGATAAGAAAGAAATAAGTTACGATTGCCAGGACGGCCTTATTCCTACATTTACTACGGCAACAACGTGGGTGCAACCCCTGAAGTCGTCCGGGGGAAACGCGCGGCACGGAGGTTTTGGTTCCGGGCCAGGCTTCCACACAAACGCGAAACAACGTGGGGCATATTCTTTGGTTCTTTCGGTAAAGTCACGTAGAATGAGAATAAAATAATAAATTGATAAAAAATAAAATAACACGTGGGGCATAGCTTGACTTAAAGCTTTCGTGACTGCAGGAATTCATATTCTTTGGGTCTTTCAGGAGAAGCCAAGTGGATAGAAAAATAAAATAAAAAAATAGCTGGCAATTTTTTTTCACCTAATGACGATTGCTTGTGTTGCTTCAGTTTTCAGTTGCATTTATTTTGGTATAGCCCTGTGAGCCATTCGGCTCTTGAATCGGGTGCAACCGCAACAAACAAAAAACAAAAACATGAACAAGAAAAACATCTTAAAGTGACTGTGTGACTGTGCCAACAGAAAATCCAGGAAAAAAAACAGCAAAAATATTCCTGAAATAGCACCGTACACCAACGCTGTGTGCAAAAATCCCAGTGGGATGCAAGTCAAACAACAACAACAACCACAAGACAACTTAGATTAAGGCCATCAGTCTAACTCCATACTACAACAAACAAAACATGGCCAAACCAAAAAACGTTTTGAAATCACCAAAATAAAGTCATAAAAGCAATGTAACAGTAATCATAGGAACTGTGACCGAAATAATCACAATAAACGACATAAACAACATGTACCACCAAACCCTGCAGCCATAGCTGCCTGCATGAGTCACTGCACAAACAACAAGAGCATCAGTAGGAGTATCAACATTTTTCAGTGCACCTTCAAGATCAGCACACTAAATCAAAACACAAGATCATACTTCGCAGCGGTCATCCGGAGCGAAACATTTTATTTTATAAATTTTACGACCGAAACGTCGTGATATTTATGTTTGCGCGTAGTCACTTTAAGATGTTTTCTTGTTCATGTTGTTTTGTTTGTTGCGGTTGCATCCGATCCAAGAGCCGAATGGCTCACAGGGCTATACCTAATAAATGAAACTGAAACTGTGATATTTTTTTATTTATATCTACGTGGCTCTACCGAAAGACCCAAAGAATATGGGCATAGCTGCTCAGCCCCTTATCAGTGCCCTACCTTATTACAGACCAATTTAGACCTAAATGGTCACCCCGTGCCCCTTATAAATAAAAACGTTCGTCCTACAAAGTCCCATCGCAAGGGAGAAACACAAACAAATAGACAATCTCCACTAGTGATTTTTGTTATTTTATTTTTTACCTACGTGACTTTACCCAATAGAACCAAAGAGTATAATCTCCACTAGTACACTTACCACTAGTACACTCACCAATACATACCTGTCAACCCCGTATCATTGACTATCTTATTACAGACCAATTCAGACCTTATTGGCCACCCCGTGCCCCTTATAAATCTCAACGTTCATCCTACAAAGTTCCATCGCAAGGGAGAAACAAATAAATAAAAAATGCTCTTTGCCCGTATTGAAACGGCTGTACACCTCATAGACCTGGAAACTCAACTCCCCTGTACAAGAATAACGGGTAAACCGTATGGGTTGACAGGTATGCATTCGCCAAATAATAATAGGCGTTTACCCCTTTGGGGCCGTCCATAAATGACGTCACGCACCTAGGGCGGGGTCAGACATTTGTGACGATGTGTGACATGGGGGGGGGGGGGTGAGAAATGTGACGTCACATCAAATGCGCAACTTTAAATAAATATAGAATTGTTATAACACTAATTGTTATAACACTCCTACAATATCATAGTGCAGCGCCACATTAAATACGCACTACAATGACAATAGTTTAAAGCGATTTGAAGCATGTTTTATTTTCAAAATGGAAATATGGTTTTTGGGGGGGGCAGAGCTTTGTGACGTCATATTTGAGGGGGGGTCTGACTTTTTGTGACGCCGTGTGACGAGGGGGGGGGGGGGTCAAAAATCGTCCAAAATCGTGTGACGTCATTTATGGACTGCCCCTTTCTGGCAATAAACCTTTTGGCGTCATCTGGTCGAGCACCAATGGGTCGAGGCTCAAAAGAAAGCCGTCCCTTGGTGTGGACCAATCAGTTTCAAGGACAATGCATGTATTATCATAGTATGTTTTTTGTTTGCATTTTGACTGCAGGTATTGTGGTTAAAGCAGACATGAATCCTTGTAAAAAAAAGGTTTCAGTTTTGTTTCCAGAAAAAAGGGGAAATCCTATTAAAACCGGAGGTGTTAATGTGTACCGTTCAATCTTTGGCGTTCTCTGGTCTGACACTGGTGAGACAAGGCCATAAAGAACAAGGCTATCTCTGGTGGTCCAAATAAGTTTCAAAAACAATGCATATATTACCAGAGCACGTTTGTTTGCAAGTTTTTGCCACAAGCACGTGTGGTTAATGCAGATTTGATGCCTTGGCAAATGCATTGATTTGGTGTTTGAACATCTTAACACCTGTTTTTTTGCAAAAAAAGAGGGAAAAGACAATTCTTATTTTTGCATCATTTTGGATACTGGCAAAAAGGTGCCATAGGGATTACTGTACAACACACTGCAGCAGCAATCGCCGCCGACTATGAAAACTTGGCAGGACCCTCCTGAAACAGTCACGAGACTCAGTGAGGCTTTCCTGGGTTTAGAATAACAATACTGTAATGAATCTTGACTTAAAAGCTTTCGTGACTGCAGGAATTAATATTCTTTGGGTCTTTCGGTAAAGGCACGTAGATAGAAAAGTAATACAATTATAAAAAATTGATTGAAAAACAATAAAATTATAAAAAAGAAAATATATAATTTTTATATCTACGTGGCTTTACCTAAAGAACAATACTGTAATGATCTTCTGTAATACCTCAATCACGCTGGTCAGTGTGGGTTGATGATGGTGGCCAGCCATTGATAATATTGAATACAAATAATCTTCTGAAATTCGTGGTCCGCCAGGAAAGCTTTAATACTTTATACTAATACTTTATTATCACACTTCTACGGGGAAGTTACCGTTGTAATTGTGTAAGATGTGCCCTTTTTGAGCTGCCGTTTTGTATTTACAAGAGGTGGTCCTTTTTTGAGCTGCCGTTTTGTATTTACAAGAGGTGGTCCTTTTTTGAGCTGCCGTTTTGTATGTGTAAGATGTGCGTGTTTGAGCTGCCGCTCTCGCTCTGGCCCCTCCCCCCCCTCCAACCGGATTTCCTATTTAAGCTTCTGTTCATCCCCCCCCTCTCTCTGCCTCCCTGTCCGTCTTTCCTCCCTCCTTACCTCTTGGTGGACTTGTATATGTATTTCTACCGACCGTGTACCTCGTATTTTTCATTCTATCTATGCTGGTATGTGCAATCCAAAGGTTGAACACGAAATTTAACACTCTTCTGAAATTCGTGGTCCGCCAGGAAGTGTCTGTGTTGTTGGCCTGACTGGATGTGCTTCACATAATGTTTTTCAGGTTTGTTGAATTCTCGTCTCTCATCTTTTTGTTGTATTTACCTCCGTGATTTGTTCTTGACACCTGATGAAGATCGCTTGCGTTGTGATCGAAACGTCGTGATTGTTTTTTGTTTTAATATAATTTTATTGTATTTCTACATACGTGACTTTACCGAAAAAAACAATGAGTAATTTTATGCAGTCACGAAAGCTTTAATACTTTATTACAAATAATGGTGTTTCGCTGTGAAAATGATCAACAATAAAGTTAAAACGTTTACACTATTTCCGCCCAAAATTATCCGGATTGTTCTACGTCAAAAGAAGGATCTCTTGCAGAGCAGTGCGACCCTTCGTGCTATACAGAATGGCCCACGGAAGCAGATAAGACAGAGCTACCTCCGAGAACCGCCCGTGACCTCTGCTCCACATACAATAGAGGGTAGCACTTCCGCAATCACTTTGCTACCAAGGGTAATGCATGTATGGGTAGAACTTATTTCGCATCGTACGTAGCCAATCGTGCTAATCGGAGGCGCGGGGGAATGACAACAAACTAAACGCAAATAGCAGTTTCATGGGACCTCCTTTGCCAGTACCAAAATATGTGAATAGGTTTTTTCCCTTTTATCTGGCAACAAAACAGGTTTTTATTTAAGCTTTCGTGACTGCAGTAATTCATATTCTTAGCTCTTTCGGTAAAGTCACGTTGAAGGGAAACAATAAAATAATAAAAAATATATATAAAACAATAAAAATTCTCACGACGTTTCGACCATAACACAAACGGTCGTCATCAGGTGTGATTTTATTAACTTTACCGAAAGAGCTAAGAATATCAAAACAGGTGTTAAGTTTTGATTTAAAGCTTTCGTGACTGCAGTAATTCATATTCTTAGTTTTTTCGGTAAAGTCACGTTGAAGAGAAACAACAAAATAACAAAATATATATAAAACAATAAAAAATTCTCACGACGTCGTGAGAATTTTTTTATTGTTTTATATATATTTTGTTATTTTGTTGTTTCTCTTCAACGTGACTTTACCGAAAAAACTAAGAATATGAATAGGTGTTAAGTTATTAAAACACCAAACTGAAACCCTTTTCAAAGAATCATGTCTGCATTAACCACAAGTATATTGTGGTCAAAATGCAACAACAAAAAACCCACTGATAATATATGTATTGTCTTTGAAACTGATTGGTCCACACCAGAGACAGCTTTCTTTTGAGCCTCGTCTCAAACGGTGTTCGACCAGAGGCGTCCTCTGGTGGGGGTTTTGTGTTCCAATGACCCTCAGAACGATGTCGCTTGGAGTCTTGCACTCCTGGTACTGTCTCCCTTGGCGAACAGGTCTGGGGGGGGGAGTTTCCAGACAAATAACGGTCCAAAAAAAAGCCACTCACGGATGGTTAAAAAAAAATCAAGAGAACCACGACCGAACAAGGTATAGCGGAACACCCCCCCCCCCCCCGGAGAAAGGCCTGGGGCTTGGTGTTCGCCGCCAAGCGCCTGGTGGCCGGGTGACCCCGGGTGACCCCGGGTGACCCCCCACCCCCCACGTAGCCCGGTCGGGCCCGCTACGTGGCGCCGTCCTGTGGGCCCCACCATCCGAAAGGACGAAGCGTGAAGGGGCCGGTTCGATGCCAGTCTGGCAGGGAAAAGGATGGTCTCAGACGGGAAAGGGTGGTGTGGACCGCCACTACTCAACACGCTGCCGCCGCGACCCTCAACCAAGAGAAAGCAGACTGAGACCGGTGCAGCATACATTGAGAGGAAATTCATCTTTTTTTAATTAAATAACCAAAGCACGATTTATTTTGAACATTTTCTTATTTATAAAATATAATCGAGCAATAGTCTCGTATCGCTAGTATAAAATTTTATTTTACTCATGCACTTGAGCAATCTTTAAAAAAACAATTATCAGCGTGCCACCCACGACACCGGACGGACGTACACAATTCAAAGCCTGCCAATTCATCTTCATCATTGGCGACAAAAGCAAAGAAGGGCGCGCGTAGCGTCTTAAAGGCCGCTAAGAAAAAAAACACTGACTCCCAACAGCAACTCAAAATTAATTCTACGTTAAAACTAATTTGCGAAAGGGGCCACCCCCGGTTGAGTCATTGCTCTTGGTGACAAGAGCTGGTTGGTATGTTAGCGAGTGAAGACCCAAGACGACAGGTAACAAACACACAAGTGCAATGTCATAACGTGCCAAACACCGTCGGCATCACCGACCATCATTTATATCCACTGCTGAATAATGGCCTCCTCATACGGTCGACATTTACCACGGGTTTTTTTGCAATTTCAAACGCATCCACCCGGCTCCGACAACACGAGTCTATTTCATTTACTTCCATTGCCAAAGTAAACGTCCTCCCCTCCATCCCTCCTAGGCGAGCGAGCTCTCTCCTTTGGCTGCCGTTCCGTCGTTAGTCTCGACCACAGGTGTCCATCACCCCCCCCCCCACACACACACACAACTCCCCCCACTTCGAGCGAGCCCGCGTAACTGCCCGAACCCACTTAACTCTTCTTAATTCGTAAATGTCGCAAAATTTCGTCTGCTATCTAATCCCACGTGTGTTCCTCTTCGTGTCTCTGTGTGTAATTCCAAGCAGGGGCTCTAACACCTCGCTCGCTCTCTCTCTCTCTCCATGCCTCTTTGATGACAACGAAATTTCTGAAAAGGTGGGCAAATTAAGCATGGAGAGGCGCTTGCTTGGAATTACACGGGAGATCGAGGGGACGCGCACAATCCACTCAATTGCAATAAAATGCAACCCAGGGATTTAAAGAGACGTGCTCACATTTGAATAATGGAAATGACCCAGGTGCGTGTTAGGAGACCCTCGGGAAGAGATATCCTTATGATTTTACAACTTTTATAGGCTTGTTCTAACATAAAACAATCCCTGGATCCACTCACATTCCAGTTATTCCAGTCAGGAACATAAAAAAATCAATTAAATACAAATAATAATGGAGGCGTGCGACAGTACAATGAGATATGTTAACCGATTTGAGCATTTTACACACAAGCGGGCTTAATGACAGTTGCTGCCACATCTTTGCACAGGCAAACATGTTGTACTGTACTTATATGCTCCCATGTCTATGCTCCCCCACCTTAACCAACCCACACTTGACCGGCCAGTTTTTCAATCCACTGCTGGACAAGCGCCTCCCTACGCCGTGCGGGGCCGTGGTTATTGCCTCACGTTGCTTCTCCACGCTGATCACAGCGCGTGTTGAAGGCAGGGAGGCACGCACGTGTGTGTGTGCGAGCACACTTAAGTATATAGTACATGTGATTTCGTTGCGACCGTCCTAGCAGAGCCCCACAGCCACTCGTGACAACTTGGTGTGTACGTTTGGACGCTCATCCAAGCATTGTCCAGGCTCAACCCCGCTTAGCTTCCGAGATCCGGTGCATGCCGGGTGGGGGAGGAGAGGGGGGGGGGGGTGATTTGATCAATGGCAACTCGTTATTGGACCGAGGGGAGGAACAAAAATCATCGTCGGTCGGTGAGGTCGTGCCGGGCAGCTCCGGGGTCAGCTCCAAACACGAGCGGCGGCGTCGTCGCTACCGAGTGCAACCGCACCGAGACCCACGGGACACAAGAGGACCCGACCACGTGCTCTGAACTGCGATGCTGGGAAGGATGGGGGGCGAATTCCTCGCACTGGGGTTTACGCCAGCCACGCTTTTCTTTCTGGTCGCACGGACGCTGATGTAGTTGCAGAGCAACAACTACAACGTCACACTCAGGTGGTCAAGACGGACAAAGCGCGTCAGGCGCAGCGGAGTGCAGTGATGTCTCCCTTTCGTGTTTGTGGATCGGGAGTTGCGTCGTTATATCTTATATGGTCTGTTGTAGATGACCACAGTCGCGCACTGGAGAGTTTTTTAATTTTCCCATTTGTGCATCGGGTGTCCGCATCCGCCATGGTTTTCGCAGTGGATGGCGGCTTCGGGTGGACCGCGAGCTTCGTGGAAGATCAAACCCAGGGCTCTTTCGCGTTGGGTTCTTTTGAACTGCATTCCACTAACGCCGATGGACACGCCGCCGTGCGTGCAACTCTTGACACGGCACAAATAATAGTTCTCACCTCGTGAAACGAATACCCTCTACTTGGCCTCCTCGGGCAAAGGATGTTTAACAATGGATCGGGCGATTGAATTCCTTTGCACCAGGGCCTATGCCAACCACCCTATGCCACCAGGACCACAATCTCATACTGAACCTATATATATCGAGAGCGTTAGCATAGGGAACCATAGGCCAACGTGAATTGGCTCCAGTGGCGAGGCTATCTTGTGTGCGGGCGGTGCGACTGCTGCACAAGGGCTCACGGGCCCTTTGAAGGTGGGGGAGGTGGAGAGAGATTTGATAGAGGGCATTTAATTCGTTGCAACAGGGCCCCAGGCCAACCTAAGCTCCTATACCACTGCGACTATACGTCACATGGTAACCATAATCTGCAAACAGGTGGGTGGGGGAGGGGCATTGAATGCGCTTGCGATAGTTACATTAAATGCTTCAATTATTTGTAACGTCTACATCACTGAAGGGTAGATAAGGCAGACAATTAATCCAATATTTTTCTGAACATTCACGGGATTATTTTTTGTTGCAGAAAGCTACCACACGCTCGCTCTCTCCCCCCTTGCTGAATAAACTCAAGGCAATACGCTGCATTTGGATAGAGCGGGGAATGGGGGATTTGAAATACCTTGAGCACGGGACGCACATTCGTTCCATTTCATGTCCACCAAAACCGACCTACATCAACAATGACCATTCGCGGTGGGCAAAGGACCAGGCGCGCGCATGTGCGCGCACACAGCATCGGTAATGAAAACCCACCATCATCTATGCTCGGCTCCTCTAGCAGGCGACACCGGGACGGGGTTAGTGTGTTCTGGGTACGTGGGCCGGGCCGCACTTTAACGGGCGCGCGCGCCAACGGCGATCATCTCCTTCTGGTTGCCGCAACACATCCTTGCAGTGACAGAAGTGACCGAGCGCGCTAAAAAAATGAGAAACAAGTGTTTGCCAAGGTCATTCGAAACATTCTCCCCTCTAGCATCCAACTAGTGCACCTCTAGGACGCATGCTCTCCTCCTCCTCCTTCTCTCTTCCTGTCCGCCCGCTTTACCGACACCGCTGGCGTCGCTAACGCCTGGCAGCAGCAGCAGCAGGAGCAGCAGCGGTCCTCTGCGGTTGGCGATCGTCGTCATGCCCCATCCGTTTCCCGATTTTTAAATGACTTTCACCCTCCGTTCTAGTTAGTGCTGCCACCAGCTCCACCAGGCAAGTCCATATTTTTGGAGACCCTCCTCCACCCGCTGGGCCATTTCCAAGCGGCTCCTGTTGCCCTAGGCCGTTTGAAATTAAGTATCGGGACCCATCCGGCCCATGGGCCGTGTGTTCCCTCCACCCCTGGGAAAAAAAAAGGCATAAGCGCGTGTACGTGTGTGTGCGTGCACCCGTGTGTACTCGTGTGTATACATGTGTGGTCTACTCAGAAGCTATGTTGCATCATAACAAAACGGTACCAAACGTAACTTGACATCAGAGGTCATGCTTTAGCGAATGCGCCAAGTTCTTTTTTAAGCGAAAAAAACAATATATACTGAAATTAGCATTTTCTTTGAAAACCCACAAGAAATAATTTTAATTCAACTCAAGCGAAACAAAAAAAAACAGTAAAAATGTAATGATTCATCGACTGAAATCGATTGTGAGCACCATGCGTGCGGTGTGGGCTGTTCGCGTAAGAATCTGTTGGGCAGCTCCGCAAATTTTTAAGACGCAAATTTGAGATTTGTGGGCAATCGTTAACATATTCTCACGGTGGCGGCCTTCTATTTGGACAAAGGACGCGAACCAATCAGGGCTGAAAATCCATATAGAAATAATTCGTCCACCTTTCTTGTCAAAGGTAAAGACGTTCGCGAATTTACGCGGTGCCGGACGTACTTGCACAAATTAACTTTTTCGTTCGTAAACCGTCGACTTATTCCACGGGTCATGTATTCTACAGGCACAATTTACCCCTGAGGGCGATTTAGTACATTTGGACCGCGAGGCTGCCGAATTTGTGGGACTGCCCAATTATTTACGACCCCCCCCCCCCGTCCGAGCAAGAACTCCTCTTTTCCTTTTTGCCCAACCTGCAGCGAACGTGTCCCCGGCAGACCGCCGAATCCCAGCAGTGCACACACGTCGGAAACAGCCAAGTCGCGCACACGCATTACGCCGTGATCGTATAAACGAATCGATTTCAAATCGGAAAATCGACGCGCCGTGCCGCTGCCCACCGCTACCAGCAACGAAGCTCTCACCCCCGCCGCCACCCCACCACCACTATCTTCCGACGTTTAAACGACGAGCCCGAAACTCGCTCGCTCACATGCTCACTCACTCTCCAACTCACTCGAGATCCCAACCAACAAGAGACATCACCCCCCCCCCCCCCCCCCCGCATTGCTGTGTGTCCTCGAAATAACTCTGGTGGATAAAGCGTGGTGTCCCGCATATAACAGCGTCGATCGGGAAGGATCTCTATAAATGGGAAAAAAAAGTTTGTAAGAAACTAAATTCGAATTTTGTACTCCCAAAGCTCGGGAGTGCGACCAAGTCAGTCTTGTCATCTAGCCGTGTCCCGACGCGGCGCTGAAACGTTACGCGCCAGCGCCGTCCCCACTTCCGTGACTGTCCTGCGCAATGTCTGCCGTCGTGTTGGATTGTGTATTCCGGAAGTGGTGGTTGTCAATGGTGGGTTTGTTTGTTTTTACTTTCATTTATAAAGCTACAGTATTCTTACTTTTATAATAGCAAAAAGGCCACGCAAATAACACCGCACGCTGTAAACTGCCTAAATTTGGCCTTTGTGAGCGTAACGTGGGTTTTCGTAAAGGAGGTGGCGGCGCACACATCCGTCCACCGCTATTTTGAGGACACGTGGCACACCAATCGTCACTGCGCTTGGCCTGAAACGAGTGCGAGCGAAAAGCGAGCATCCACGAGATTTTGTTCCCCCGCCGCCCACCACTCCCCCCCCCATCCTCCATGACCCGAATTCGCCTCCTGCTCCTCCTCCCATCACCGCTTCCGCTGTCGTCATTATCGCCATCATCTTCGTCGCCACCATCGTCGCAATCGCCGCCGGTCGCTGGCTCAGAGCTTGCGATGCACTGGCTGCTTGAGGCAGAGCTCCGAGCCGGCTGAGATGATGGGCAGCTGGTTGTCGCGGTGGAAGCTGATGAGATGATTGACGCTGTCGAACTTGCGGTCCTTGGTGCGCACCTGCGGATAGCGGGAGAAGGGTTTAGAGGTTAGAGCGGGTTAAGGTTGGGATTTTGGTTGACTTAGTTGTTAGTAGCTTGGGGTTATGGTTAGAGTTTTGGTTTTATGTTAGAGTGAGTTAAGGTTTGGGTTATGCTTGCGTTTTTGCTTCGAGTTAAGGTTGTGGTTTTGTGATTGGATTAGGATTTGGGTTAGAGTTAGGGTTTATGTTCAGGGTCAGGTTTAGCGTTCGCGTTGGGTTAGGTACTAGGGGTTTTAGTAGTTTAAGGTAGGAGTTAGGGTTAGTGTGTGTGGCGACTGCACACTGTGCCACCGCTGAACACCGTACCGGTCACCACTCGGTCTGTGGCCACGGCACAGTGCAGCGGTTGTGGCACGGTGTCAGGTTACCACGGGCAGAGTGCACAGCCGTGGAAAGGTACGGGGCAGCCGTGGCGGAATGTATAGCACACAGCACGGCGTGTAGCCTTGGCACGGTGCATCGCTGTGTCGCAGGGTGTGGCCGTCCGTAGCGCAACGCAAGCTTGTGGCACACACACTAGCCACGGCACAATGCGTAGCGGACGGCAGTGTGCGCGGCTCTGGCATGATCGCCCAAACGGTGACGTGACACCGCGTGGCCCAAGGCACGGTGCGTGTCTGCGGCACACCATTGCGTCTCTGCGACACAATGCGTAGCGCCTTTGCAACACACCGTGCGGCGTGGACACAAGACGCCGGCTCTGGTTCAATCGTCCAACAGTGTCACAGAGACAACGGTTGCTTCGTACGGTGCTAAAGACGTTCAACATATCGTTTCTGTTCATCTACAACGCAACGTGTTTTCATCATGCGAATTGGACGTAACGCGACTACCGCATCATAAGAGAAGAGACTGCACGCATGCACGTAACACCTTGCCACAACTGCGTGGCACAGACGATGCACCACGCCACGCCGCGCCGCGCCGCTCACCACGCCCTCGGGGTCGACGAGCAGCAGGTGCTTGGGCCGGCCGCCCTGCATGCCGGTCAGGACGTACTGGCCCGGCGTGGAGCCGCTCTCCCGCACCAGGAAGTCGCCATCGCGGCCCAGCAGCTTCTCGGCATCGCCGCGGCTCACGCGGCCGTGGAACCACGGCTCTCCACGCAGCCGCTCCGAGGACAGCCCCCCTGGCCGGGGGGTAGCGGGGTGGACGGGGCGGAGCGAGACGATGATGGGGGGGGGGGGGGGGTGCGACGATGACGTTTCGCGCGTTACGAAGCGCGTCCGTGCCGCCATTATTGTTTTCACACAGGGGTTGGACGAGCGGCGAGTCCTCGCTTGGCTGGCGGTGTTCGCACCATGAACGCGTTTTCGCTACGGCGCGGTTCTTCCAAGACGGAACACTTTTCTTACATCGCGGAATGCGTGCCCCGTTAGAACGCGGAACTCACGCACCCCGTTATAATGCGCCCCCCATTATAAAGCGGAACTCGCGCACCCCGTTATAACGCGCCCCCCATTATAAAGCGGAACTCGCGCACCCCGTTATAACGCGCCCCCCATTATAAAGCGGAACTCGCGCACCCCGTTATAACGCGCCCCCCATTATAAAGCGGAACTCGCGCACCCTGTTATAACGCGCCCCCCATTATAAAGCGGAACTCGCGCACCCTGTTATAACGCGCCCCCCATTATAAAGCGGAACTCGCACACCCCGTTATAACGCACGCCTCATTATAAAGCGGAACTCGCGCACCCCGTTATAACGCGCCCCCCATTATAAAGCGGAACTCGCGCACCCCGTTATAACGCGGTTTCTGAGTGGTCGATGACTAACTACTTTCTTGGGCTGCTCGGCTTGAGCGGAATGATACGGTACGCAGAAGGATACAGCGCGGGGCGACTTTCCCTCATCTCAATTCTCCGCTCCGCCGCGGGATGACTGCAGGCTAATGTTCGAGTGCACATGGGATTCAAAAGTAGCATTGTTTGTATTTATTCATGTACGCCCTGTAATGCGCATTCATCAAGTGGTACTTGGCTTTACGCGGCACTCGTCGCGAACGCACAGGCCCCGTTGAACAACGAATCCCCGTTACCTCCGTCCATGTCGCTCGTGTTAACATAGCTCGGGTCCTCTGTGGCCTCCACGCGGGCCCCAGGCCGCATCCCTCCACTGCCGTCTGAAGGAAAAAAGAAAAAAGAAATGCATTGTAAGGGTTAACATCTAGTTCGCATGCAATCGGTCGCTCCTGTGAGGTCATGCCTGGTTACACGGTTATTTTCGTTAGTCTCGGTCGCCATCTGTTTGAGCCGTAGCGCGTGCCCTCCCCAAGCCCATTTACGTCGCCACTTAACAATCAGAGAATACCCGGCAAAGCCAGCTGAGTTACATAGCTCTTTTTTTCAGAAGCGACCTGGCCACAAATGATAGCTCAACAAACGTGGAAATTCATGGCAGCCAAATGTGGAGGGAAAAACCGGAGGACGCGGAGAAAAGTACAAGCGACCACGGGGGAGAACATGAAAACTCCAAATATACAAACATCTTTCGATGTAAAGCTTTCGTGTCTGCAAGGATTCATCTTCTTTGGTTCTTTCGGTAAAGTGACGTAGAATGAGAATAAATACAAACATCGTCAGGGTCAGGATCGAACCCACGCGCTCCTGTATACCAGGCGAGGTACGCAACATCTTGCCAATGTGGCGAACGGTGTCTCTAAAGCGTGCGTTCCCTAATCCACGTGTTCCTCTTCCTCATCTCGGAATGTAATTCCAGCATGTGCCTCGCACGCGCGCACACGCATCGTACCGCTCCACAGTGGCCGCTATAGATGCCGCGATGTCACTCAAAGAGGCGGGCAGGCAATATTGCGTGCCCGTGGCGTTCACGGTCAAATCGTGCCGAATCTGAAAAATTACACCGCAAAAAACGCATCGCAACCGTCACCCCCCCCTCCGCCCTTCCTCCCAACTGCGAAAGCTTGGCAAGACCCTCCTGCAAAGGAGTTTTGAGACTCGGTGGAGGCTTTGCCGGGCAAGCAAGCGTAGTGATAACAACGCGATGGCCATGAGCCTTATGCAGAGTGCACTACCGGCTGCACTCGATGACTGCCTCTGGTAGCTCGCGCTGCTGTCGTACACAGACTTCCCCGCCACCGTCCCGTTCTCGCCTCTTGTTGCCTGCGCGCACAAACGCACATGCACACGTACGCGCGAAGGGTCAGCGCAATCCGCCACAGCGCAAAAGGATGAGTTCATTCAAATATTCTTAGGCTCACAATGCGTACACGCCCGGCCGCCTTTGTCTGCCCAGTGGCAATATTTGCACACTGCACCATTTACTCATTTTAGGCCGAGTCGACCTAGGGGAGGCCCAGGACCGGTTCAGATAATGGTTACTGGTTTTGGCCGTGAGCAGGAATCCAACTCGGGTCGCGTTAACAGAGCGTTAACTGGTGTACTACCGCTACCCGCACACGCACACCGCACACCGCACACACCACACGCACACCACACGCACACCGCACAGCCGCTGACCATGGACGATTGCGGAGGCCGCTGTGGTCGCGCCCCGGCCCACCCAGCGCCCCCCGCTCCTGCCCCGCCCCCTCCGGCCCCCTCCAGCGTGCGTGCGTCCACCAGCCCCCCAGGGGGGGGCTCCTTGGAGGGGAGATCATTGTAGTACTCGTGGTCACGCCCCGTGGCTCGGGACACCTCCTCCTCCTCCTCGTCCTCCTCTCTCTCCGTCGCACCATCGCCGCCCTCCGGTCTGACGAGAGGCAACAAAACGCAAAGACAAAGATCCCCCCGACCCCCGTGTAGCCTTAGCAGACTGTTGGGGCAAGTGCTGTTAAAGCGTGTAGCGCCTATGAAGGCCGACACAGCACACGAGGGGGTGGGTGGCCAGCACCACACCCGGCTGCCTTTGTCTCCCCAGTGGCGATGTTTACACATCGCGCCAGGTACTCGTTTGAGGCCTAGTCTACTTAGAGGATGCCAAAAAAACATTTGTTTTGGACAAGGCATCAAAACAAAAAACAACAACAACCAGAATCCAAAACCAAGGTTGGAGGCAGGCTTGGCTGCACATGGGAGGCTGCACATCGTGGTTGAGGTATGCATGGATGTACAATGAACTTCTTTCCCACCCTACATAGCCAGCCGTGCTAATCGGAGGTGCCGAGGTGTGGTTAGGGAGGTGCTGAGCTGTGGTTACCTGGAGTGTGGGATGGCGGCGGCGGCGGCGTTGGTGGTGGCAGCAACAGCCGCGGGCCGTGCGGGGCTCTTGAGGTACTGCTTGAACCTCTGCTCGAAGGCCTGCCCGATGGTACAGATCACGTCCTGCGCCAGCCCTTCCAGACACTCGAGCACGTGGCACGCTGCCGGGAGAGAGAGAGAGAGAGCGCGTGTTGTGGGCGACAGCGACATGCCGATGCCAGACAGGCAAGTAGGTCTTCACGGATAACATGTTACGTATGTATATTCTTAGCTCTTTCGGTAAAGTCACGTTGAAGGGAAACAACAAAATAATAAAATATTTTTTTCCTATATTATAATATTATATATTTTATTATTTTATTGTTTCCCTTCAACGTGACTTTACCGAAAGAGCTCAGAATATGAATTACTGCAGTCACGAAAGCTTTAAATCAAAATGTTACGTATGATTCGTTAATTTGATTTGAGTCGAGACATTGGCGCTCATCTCCTATTTTACAGCCCTGAGCCAATGGTGGAAATTCCACATTCCTAAGGTTAGGGGGCGCGTCTCTCTATCGGATGTTGCCTGCTGGCTGAGTCGCCCTTGAAAATGTTTTTCTTATCTCAATGAACTCGGGAAATACGATTCTGACTTCCTAACTTCGTAACGTCCATTTCACAAATGTTGAGATTCCGTGAGATTCGTTTGCCAATTTAAAACTTTCGTAATTTTATTTCCGGACCAAAGAAATACGTTATGAAAGAACAAACACAAGCTGTAAATAACATCCAATTCGTGTAGTTTACCACTATAAGTACTGCACACTCCGTTTTACAGGTAACGGATGCACGAATGAGCGAATGGTGAATGGGTGAAGAAGAGCGAATGGATGGGTGCCAAGTGAATAGCCGAGTGAAACATTAACTGCGTTGGCTCACCTCTCTGATTCACAGGATCTTTGGCCACATATGCAACGTAATCTGTCGTTTCCTATGTTGCAAAAAAAACACAAAGATATAAAACAAGATGGAATTATATATCTGCCCATGCTGCTACGTTGGCAGTGGCGCACGAGCAGAGTTAACATTAAAATTCAACGCGTACATCAAGAACAGCTCGGCGTACATGGCCTTGAATAGAGGCGAAGTACTGGAAAATGGACCTTCTTCATAGCAAATAACATTCAATGCAAATATTTGGAAAAGTATAAAATAGGCAGTGTATCCAGGCAGTGTTATTGATGAATGCATTGAGATTGTTTGTTAAAACGTTGCAGGTATGTTAACGATAAAATATATTTTGCACAAGTCAAAAGTCAAAGTGATTTCCATTTCTAAAGAGCGCCGAGGCATTGGTGTTCATCTTCTGTTTACAGCCCCCGTAGAGCCAGCGGTGGACATTCCACATTCGTTTGGCAGGGGGCGAGTTTATCCAAAGGAGAACCGCTGTTAAGTTCCCCACAAAGTAGTGCTCATTTGAGCCACCGTGATGGTAACATGGGGGCTGAGAGAGTGCACAACAATAAGTTAATGGAGAGATGACAGACAAATGCCATACCTGGTCTCCACCTGAAGCGAAGGATATGGACTGCATGTGGTGGTTGGCAATGATCTGTGGGACGGGCAAAAAGGACATCTGTGAATAAGAGCTCTACAAGCTCATTGGATTCCTCCAGTCTAAACAAAGATTATAATTCTAGAAGACACAATGATCACCATCATCCCCAATATCTGTGCAGTGAAACTCTAAATATCCGCCACTAAAAAAAATCCGCATTCCAAAATTCCACGAATCTTGAAATCCGCGTCCCCACGTACAAAAACAAAGATCCCCCCCGTCTAGCCTTATCAGACTGTTGGGGCAAGTGCTGTTAGCGAGCACCTATAAAGGCCGGCACGGCACACGAGGGGGTGGGTGGCCAACACCACGCCCGGCCGCCTTTGTCTCCCTAGTGGCGATGTTTACACATCGCACCAGGTACTCATTTGAGGCTGAGTTGACCTAGGGGAGGCCTAGGACCGATTCAGATAATTGTCACTGATGTTGGCCATGAGCGGGAATCGAACCCCGGTCGCCAGGTTTGTCGCGCAGCGCACTAACCCGCTACACTACCGCTCCCCACACGTACACACACACACGTATACACACATAAGCAGACAAAGATCCCCCATACAGCCTAAACACTGTTGGGGCATCTTCTTTGGTTCTTTCGGTAAAGTCACGTAGAATGAGAATAAAATAATAAATTGATAAAATAAAATAACACAATAATATTCTCACGACGTTTCGGCCACAACACAAGCGGCCTTCATCAGGTGAAGGGACGAGACTGTCTGTCTGGTAGGACAGCGCTCGAGTACCTCCAGCGCTGTCCTACCAGACAGTCTCGATGAAGGCCGCTTGTGTTGTGGCCGAAACGTCGTGAGAATATTATTGTGTTATTTTATTTTATCAATTTATTATTTTATTCTCATTCTACGTGACTTTACCGAAAGAACCAAAGAAGATGAATCCTTGCAGTCACGAAAGCTTTAAACTGTTGGGGCAATTCGCGAGCCACATAAATGCACACGTTACGTACACACGCAAACACACACATGCGTATAAGAATGCACATGAACGCACACGCGCACCTGTTTGGTCTCGGGCGTCATGAGGTTGAGGCTGGAGATGGAGATGGTGAGGATGATGTCGAGACCGGCGAACTGCAGGTTGCTCTTGCCCAGGACGTCGCCCAGCGTCTGGCTGGGGCCCTGGCGGTGCCGGAGAACACACGCAGTGGGGATCACTTCCGCTCAGTAGAAGGCACGATCAAAAAAATACGAGGGAGAGCCATTCGTCTAAAATAATACAACCTTCTTATTTTCACATCAGAGTTATATTTATGCTTGTTAACCCAGGAGAGCTTCAATGAGTCTCGTGACTCTGTTTCAGGACGGGTCCTGCCAAGTTTTCACAGTCAGGGGTGATGTTGCTGTGTCTGATCCCAATTGAGTAATTTCCATGTAATTCTTCAGCACTGAGAATTGTGGCCAACAGTAGTTGCATTAGTAATAAGTTTCTACCCTTTTATCTGGCACCAAAAACTGACACCTTTATACAAGGGATCATGTTTGCAATAACCACAACACAAGCAGTCAAAATGCAAACAAAAAGAGACAACTCTGATAATGATATGCACTGTCCTTGAAATTGATTGGTCCACACCCGAGACGCCTTTTCTTAGAGCCTAGTCTCCACTGGTGTTGGACCAGATGACGCCAAAAGGCGTGCAACTCAAAAAGAGTAGTTACATTGTTTAAATAAAAAATATCGTCATTATTAATACCGCATTCTCCAGATTGCAAGATTCCCTTCTTCCCCCCATGCATCTAAAACAAAACAGTTGGGGGCGGGTGAGTCTTATTTTCCAGAGGGACTTATAATTCACAGAATACGGTGTTACAATCTACAGAAGCAGACAAATGGGGGAACACGAATCAACAAATAACAGCGCGCATTTCATGAGGATGGTGGCGGCAGCACGGTTGAGAGGTCAGGTTTACCTTTCGTCGTCGGAAAGATCCATTTGAGCCCGGCACAGCCTCGCACACCCTGCCAATCGCCTCCCTGCGGGAATCGATGCCGACACACACGTTCACTCACCTGCCCACTGGCTCGCTGCTTACTCTCTCACCCAACCATTCATTTAACCAACTAACCAACCACCCATTCATCCATCCATTCATTAATCTCTGTGATCATCGATCCATCCATCAGTCGATCTATTAATCTATACGTCCAACCATCTGTTCATCCATTCATCTATTTATTCAACCACCAATCCATTCATTTATTCATCCATTCGCCCATCTATCTATTAATTTATCCATCCATCTGTCCATCCATATATATGTGAATTCATTCATCCGTGTATATATGTATTCATTTGTCCATCCATTCATCCGTTCATTCAATTAGAGGACCGCAGCCTTCGTCCGGTTCGAACGCACGCCCCTGCTCACTCACCCGCCCGTTCGTCTACCCATTAGTCCATTTGAATCACCCGCTAATTTATTCATTAATTCATCCGGTCGTAAACAAATAAATAATGCGCAGGCCCACGGCTTCGGCCGGTTGCAAACCCCGGTGTCTCTCGCCTCGCATCCGCTTGCCTCGGCAAAAAAATCAATAATGCATTTACAAGCGGTAAAGCCATCCGGCCGTCTGCGGCTCGCCCCGTTAAATTATTCATGCTACGCCACCGCCTCCGCCTTCGCTACCGCCACCACCACCACGACCGCTACCACCGCCTCCGCCTTCACTACTGTCAGAGCTGCTACCACTACCACACCACCTCTGCCTCCATCTCCACTACAACCACAGCCGCCACCGCTACCACCACCGCTTCCACCGCCACCTCCACTACCACCATCGCCTCCACTACCACCACAGCCGCTACCACCACCACCACTACCACCTCCATCTCCACTACCGCCAGAGCCGCATCAGCTACCACCACCGCCAACTACCAATTCCACTGCCACCTCCACTACCACCACCGCCTCCGCTACCAACCACCGCTGCATCTTGCGACAGAGGTTTTGCTGGCCCACCGCGCGTACGCACGCACAGGCCTACACAACTCCAAAAACCGGACAGGAAGGCGATTGCCACTGTCAAAAGTCGTCTTGTCAAAGTGTCTCCCCGCAGAAATTCAATGAAGAAGTGAAGACTTATGCCTGCCCAGCCTCCACATGCCTCTAGAATAGCGGTGGCAAACTGGCATCTCCTGAGCCTCACGCAGCTCTTTAATCCACCACATGTGACTCTATCGAAGGGGGCGTAACATAGGACACACTTTTGATTTAAAGCTTTCGTGACTGCAGTAATTCATATTCTTAGCTCTTTCGGTAAAGTCACGTTGAAGGGAAACAATAAAATAATAAAATATATATAAAATAATAAAAATTCTCACGACGTTTCGACCATAACACAAACGGTCATCATCAGAAAATAGCGCGTCCAGTGGCTGTGGGAGTCACGTGCTCTAGATGTGTGATGATGACCGTTTGTGTTATGGTCGAAACGTCGTGACAATTTTTATTGTTTATATATATTTTATTATTTTGTTTCCCTTCAACGTGACTTTACCGAAAGAGCTAAGAATATAGGCCACACTATCACAGTAGCAAAGAAAAATGAATGTCTCCCATGCTGTCGAAAACTGTCAATATACATACACACATATATACACATGGCTCTCTGCAGAAATCATGGCTACTTTTTGGCTCTTGGTCTGTTACAGGCTGGCCACCCCTGCTCTAGAATACAGCGCGTCCAGTGGCTGTGGGAGTCACGTGCTCTGGAATACAGCGCGTCCAGTGGCTGTGGGAGTCACGTGCCCTAGAATATAGCGCGTCCAGTGGCTGCGGGAGTCACGTGACACCACGAAACCAGGCTGGAGGGGTGGCGCAGTCGTTAGCACATTTCTGGCCATGGCTAACATCAGCGGCTGAAAAACGAGTGGCCAAGGTTTGACCATCCTAACTCCACACCACACCTTTGTTAATCCACTGCTGGATGAAGCCCTTCTGAAGCAGGGTTCATCGTGGGGGGGGGGGGGGGGGTCGGTGTTGGACCATACTTCATCATGCTACTGGTCAGTGCAGGTTAGCGATTGGGGAGAGATTAGCACGGTCGCCTGCAAATGGTGCAAAAGAAGTTCAACATACAAACACAGAGGTGGGGGGGGGGGGGTGGGCAGAGCGGTCCTTAGGCCTGGTTCAGATATCGCTCGACACAGATATTTCCCGTGGCCGGAAATCAAACACAAGTCGCAGGGGTTCACAGCGCAAGCAGGAAGCAGTATCTAGGTTAGTTAATTATGGTCGACTTCCTGCACGGCGATGGTCCATTGTTCCAACGGCTAATGAGGCACCGTGCCCTGCTCAATAGACGCACAACAGATTCGGACCATCATCGATTCTTTGATTAAAAGGGGATGAGATTCTACGAGTGGATTCTTTCGATTTAAAGCTTTCGTGACTGCAATGATTCATCTTCTTTGGTTCTTTCGGTAAAGTCACGTAGAATGAGAATAAAATAATAAATTGATAAAATAAAATAACACAATAATATTCTCACGACGTTTCGGCCACAACACAAGCGGCCTTCATCACAAGCGGCCTTCACCTGATGAAGGCCGCTTGTGTTGTGGCCAAAACGTCGTGAGAATATTATTGTGTTATTTTATTTTATCAATTTATTATTTTATTCTCATTCTACGTGACTTTACCGAAAGAACCAAAGAAGAAGAGTGGATTCTTACCTGGTCACAAGAGTCCGAGTGTTGAAATCCAGAGACCGCATTGACTTGAGAACCTCAACACAGCCCATGTACTGGAAGACCAAAAAAAAACCAAAAAAACATCACCACATTAAAATTGGTTCTGCAATATTCCAGCTCTGAGAATTTTAAATATCGCTTTGACTGTCATACCAAGACAAACATCTCTCTGTAGCAGTGGCAGCAGTGGTGTTCCCAAACTGTTGTGCATTAGAGGTCACTTGAAGGGATTTCAAAAGTTGTTCTGCGATATCCACTTCAGCGGGACGCTCTCACGCAACACCAGGAGTCACACTGCTCCGCCAGAGTTCTAAACGTCTCGTGTCACGACACTGAGAATACAAATCGGGATGAAATTTGAATTACATATATATATTTTGATTGAAAGCTTTCGTGAATGCAGGGATTCATATTCTTGGTTCTTTCGGTAAAGTCACGTAGAAGGGAAACAATAAAATAATAAAAATATAAAACAACAAAATTCTCACGACGTTTCGACTGCTGTGGTTTTCACACCTGATGACGATTGCTTGTGTTGCAGTCGAAACGTCGTGAAAATTTTATTGTTTTATATTTTTATTATTTTATTGTTTCCCTTCTATGTGACTTTACCAAAAGAACCAAGAATACATACATATTTTCCTATAATTTGAAAGTATATGAAAAGCCTCGATATGAATGCATCTCAAGATGCTGTGCATTCAAGGAGTAATGGGTGCTCTTAGCTTATGGTGGGGGAAAAAATGTAGATGTTCATCACCATCATCCCCAATTCATACGGGTGAAACTAAAAATACCCACCACCTAAAAATCTGCATTACAAAAACACATGAATCCTGAAATCCGTGTCCCGCCCCCCCATTCTGCAACAGCCCCATAACAAAGACAAAGATCCCCCGTATAGCCTTAACAGACTGTTGGGGAAAGGGGTGTTAGCGAGTAACACCTATGCAGGCCGGTACAGTACACGAGGGGGTGGGTGGCCAGCACCACGCCCCGGCCGTCAGTAGAGAGACGAACTTAGGAAGGGTGCAGGAAGATGACTTCTTGACCGATCAAGAGAAGCGGATAGCTGCTGCACCGTGTTAGCTTCGATTGCAAACAGACAAGTAGCCTCAATGGGCACTCGAGCGATTTGAACAACGCCGATGAACAAAATAAAAAGCAGGCGGGGGAAAATCGTCCAAACGCGGCACGGATCCCACAACGCAGTTCCAAAACGCATCTGTCCTCGGATGCAATTAACTGGTGATGATGACGTAGGTTAACAATCGGAAGTTTGTTTCCCACCGAGTAAACCCCATCGAGCTAAGAAGCCCTTTTTCCCAAGGGTGACCTCGGCTGCCAGGCAACATAAAATCAGTCCACAAATAAAAGATGCAAAAAAAACGTTATACAAAGAGCAATTTTCGTTGTAAAATTACATTCACACTTAAACTTTAACAGAGTCAGTTAACATGAGGACAAAGATGGCAGAATGCAATATGGCCAAGAGACAAAACTTCGAAGTGGTTCCAAAAATTTGCCGCAGGTTCCGAGCCCGCACGAGATGACGTCAATCGGAGCAAGACGCGTGGCGTCCCCGTGCGTGTCTCGCCCGCACGGTGCGTGTGTGCATACATACGCACAGCTAACACCAGTGACAATTATCTGGGCATCCCCTAGGTCAACTCAAGCCTCAAATGAGTATCTGGGGTACGATGTAGGCATCGCTACTGGGGATACAAAGGCGGTCGGGCGTGGTGCTGGCCACCCACCTCCTCGTGTGCCGTGCCAGCCTTCATAGGTGCTCGCTAACAGCACTTGCCCCAACAGTCCGTTTAGGCCAAACGGGGGATCTTTGTCTTTTGTGCTCGTGTGTGTGTGTACGCGCGCGCGTGCCTCACCCGCACGGTATAGGCCACGCCAGAGCCCATGATCTGATCGTCACCATGGATCCATCCGCGTGTTGGCTTGCTGATGAAGTTGCCGTTGCTCCTCCACTCGTCGCCGGGGTCGCCCCTCCCCGCTCGCCCGCTCGTGTAGCGACTCGAGTCCTGCGGTGGTGGCGACACACATTTTGCGAAATTCTAAGATTTGCTCAACTCGCAAAACTAACAATTCGGTTGCTGTTGCTTTTAAACCAATAGCCCATTTACTGGAAGACCAAAAAAAAAAATATCACGTTAAATTTGGTTTCGGGCAATACTCCAGCTCTAAGAATTTTACATTTCTGGTTGACTATCATACCAAGAAAAACTTCTCTCTATAGCGGTGCAAAGCAAAAGTGCTGCTGTTGCCATTGGTTTTCACCACCTATTGGTTTTCACCATAAGCAACGTCGCCCCCTACTGACAGCCTAATGTCCACTTGCAGGCTGGTGCTGGGTACCATTTTATGCCACTCAGGGAACAGATGACACCAGGGTGTACCTGATGTTTGACCATACTTCACCATGCTTTTTAGCTCAGGATGGTGAAGGGCGGTGTGGGGGGGGGGCACCCGAGAACCTGGTTCAGGTATCGCTCGCCACTGTTGATGACTACGATGACCATGTCTCGCAAGAGCCAGTGATGACAGCACCAATGTACGCACGTGTGTGAAGTACCTGCCATAATAGGTGCCCAGTCTGTGAAAGGCTACACTGGGGGACATCTTTTTATCTTTGGACTTGATCAGATAACCCAACCAGCTGTATGTTGTCAACATCGTCATCATCATGGACACTGTAACTGTGTCCTTCTAAACGGCTAACGGTTCAAAGAAGGGCAAAACATATTCTTGGTTCTTTCGGTGAAGTCACGTAGAAGGGAAATTATAAAATACAAATAAAACAATTATTAAACCAATTTTATTGCTTTATTTGTATTATTTTATTATTTCCCTTCTACGTGACTTTACCGAAAGAACCAAAAATATGAATCCCTGCAGTCACGAAAGCTTTAAATCGAAATTTGAGGGCAAAACATTGAAACGCATAACTTCGACCACCTGTCCTCATGGGGACATTGGATTTTTTTTAAACACAAGGTCACTCCAGGACAAGCCAAGTCTCACCGAAAAAAAGAAGTTCAAAAAAATGTAAACCCCAATTCCATCTGTCAAGATCCTGGCACTGTGGACTGCTGATGCAGTGGAGGGGGGGGGGGGTCCCCCCAAGGCCTCGTGTTTTTTTTAATAATCACGTTCGCAGAGCAGAGGTCCAAGACGCCGAGTGGCCAGCAACAGACGGCACGACCAATGGTACAAGAGAGACAAAGAGTTGACTACGTGTCTGGAATTGAGAAGTTATGAGGAAGCTGGGCAATGAGATTACGGGGTGGGGAAGAAGTGGAGCAGTGCGAGAAGTGGGAAGAAGCAGAAAGAGAAGCGTCGTCACCTGCGGCACGGTGTTTGATTGCGGTGTGGATGACACGAAAGTGTGTGCGTGCGTGAACAATAACCACGGCAGTAACTATAGAAGAGTGATAGGGAGGCGACTGACCCGAGTTGAGCGAGTCCCTCTACGCAAGGCCAGCACCGCAAAAGGTATCAACTCACGACTCACACTCGCCCGACGCTATCAACTCCAGCAGTGGAAAATCTGTCTTAACAGTAGCTCTCGCTAAACAAGTCTCCTTTGTGTCATGAAGCAACGCAAACTATTCATCGAAAAAAAAAACCCATCTCAACTGTGTGTCTCTGTGCAATTCCGTGGGTTTCCAGGCGAATCTGCCGGTCCCGTCGCGAGTCCGCGGGCCTCTGGGCGAGACCGTGGGTCTCTACGCGAGTATGTGGGCCTCTGGGCGAGTCCGTGGGCCTCTCGGCGTGATTCCGTGGGTCTCTACGCAAGTGTACCTGTCTCAGCCGTAGAGCATTTTGGGCATGGGCCCCTCTGGTCCCGTGGGCGCTTGTGCGGCTACACCGCTCGCACACTCAACAGCCACGCCACTGAGCGACCGCAAATCTCAAATCAAGGACAGCAAGTAGCAGCAGCAGCAAAAACCTGCCAGCGTCGGTAGTTTTGCCGACAATGGCTTGAAAACATTTTGCAATCACTTTCAGACTTCCAATGCGAGTTGAGAGGAAGGCGCCGCGGACGTGGGAAGCAGTGGGGACGTAGGGTGGGCCGCTTCCTCAAACGAGCACGATGACAATTTATCGAAGAGGTTTTCTCGGCCGTTTGTAAATCGCAGTGCGGCGAGAGCATGGCCGGGTTCCGCTACACACCTCTTCCCTCCGTCTTTCACCGCGCACTACTGCTCGGCGTCTTCAGGAGCCGACGGCGGCAACCCACACGGCCACAAAAAGGGGGTGGGGAGACCTGTGCCGCTTTAATGCCAAGGGCCAACATTTTTTTTAATGTTGGCTCATTCTTTACCAGGTCAAAGGGTGAAAGCACTGCACAAGAATGTTTCACACCACTCTTATTAGGTTGGAATGTTGGGTTATTACCTGTGTATTTGATTCGGTTTTTAGTACATTTTTATTTTTATTGTCATCATCATCAGCTATGATCAATCCACTCTCAACGGTGCTGCCGTGTAATAATAACAAAAGCCCCCATTCGCCACAAAGTAGCCGTGATGTCACGATGGCTTGTGCCAGGCTAGGTGCACTTTGTGCACCATCACGTGAAGTGTGGAAGGCTCGCTGCTGGCAGGAAGTCACAAGACACTCAGGGGTTATGGGTCAACTGACCGAAATGACAGAAAGATGACAAGATGTAATAATCAATGCAATAATCCACCTAGTAAAGGCGCACAAACAAATCTCACCACTCCATGAACATTAAAATGGCTTTAGTCACTTCCTGTCAATTTTATGTAAGGTCAGTGCACACTGATTGCATTTTCACATTGAAGGACTCTTTCTGGAGGCGATAAAATATCGCAAATGTTCCTTATACAATATAAGCAGCCTAAGTAAAATTTGGAATTGACGCTGCACAAACACAGTCACGGTGTAGAAAATTCGCCGCTATTTTCGCCGAGGCGAGGAGTTTGGAGTTGAGGAATCCCATGTCATGCTCCGGCCGATACCCACAGCAGCAGCGCTGCAAATGCTTGAGAGAATAAACACGCAACGCACCAGCTAACCTTTAAGACGGTCAAAATTGTACAATAACAAAGAACTTCGACAACTTTACATGTGCCTTCTCGCCCTAGGAGTAATGCACGAGTGTGACCCCTTGCACCCTTTGCTGCGAGCTCTTCCAACCTCGTGGTTTGCCCTCGCATAACCTTTCGATGGACAGGCTTGACAAGATGTCTCTGGTGCAAGACCCCGAGTGGAGGTTTGGTCCCAAAGGCCTCTCGGTTTCCTGGTGGGCGTTAGAACCGAGGAGGCAGAACATGCTGGAGACAAGAAAGAGGGCTGCAGGCCCAATCCTCCACTTACCGGTTGCGACCAGGGACCACCTTGTCAAGCCTGTCCGTCAAAACATCCCGCACCTCCGATTAGCACGGTTCGCTACGTACGGTGCGAAAGAAGTTCAACATACATAGAAGTGTGGAGACCTCACAACGAAGGGTGAGTGGGGCCACAAGACGACCATGTCATCCCACAACGGCCAAAACACGCTTATTGTCTTGCCGTGGTCTGGGACTGTTGTTGTTGTTTTGCTGCCTTGCCACCAGGCCTTGCAATTAGTGGAGAACAATCAGCAGGAATGAATGTACTTAAGCAATTTGTATTGACATTATTTGTTGTGATTTACTTATTTAGAGTGAATTGCTTACCTTTCTCTCTACTTTGCACTCCTATTGTTGTGTAGTATCGTTTGTAACTTGCTGACCCCGTGTCCGTCCCTACTGGATATCTGTGCAAAAAGAGCTTCCATAGGCTCATCAGACTCCTCCTCCTCCTCCTCCAGTCTAAATAAACGTTCTCATTCCGATTAAAAAAACGGTTGCAAAGCGCTCGGAACGTTACTAGACGTCTCTCGGCGCAGTGCGTGACTCTCATTGCCAAGGGGGGGGGGGGGGGGGGGGGGTGTCACCTTGCTGGCGCATCCACCGCCGCTGCCGGCGCCACCGCCGGCGCCCGAGGAAGGGGCCGGAGGCACGGGCGCGCGCGACGGCGACGCGCAGCCGTCCCTCGCGGGGCCCTCACAGCTCATCCGGGAGATGGTGGCCAACTCTCGCACCAGCGAGCGCAGGCCCAGGCGGCCGCGGCTAAGCCCTCGCATCCGCGGCAGGAACGCGCAGAGCGTCGTGGTCTCCTCCTCTTCTTCCTGCCGCCTCTCGGCATCTCGGTCCTCGTCCCCCTCCGGGTCGTTGTCCTCGCTGCCATCGTCATCCTCCTCTTCGTCCTCTCCGTCGCCGAAGCCGCCACTGACGGCGCCGGGCGGCGTGTCGCCGCCCGGCGTGGTGGCAGCGAACACGAGCCGGGAGTCCGAGTCAGAGTCCGAGAGATGGCGCCGACGTTGTCGCCTCCGCAATCGCGGGGTCCCGTCCGAGTCGGTCCTGCTCGGCGCCGGAGGAGGCAGCTCCGCCGGCGAGGGCGGCGGCAGCAGCCGGTCGCACGATCGCGCCGACCACCTGTCCGCGTCGTCCGGTGGTGGGCTGCCAGCGGCGGCGCGCGCCGGATACTCCGGCGCGGGTTCTGGCGAGGCGTCACCCGAGTCCGACTCGCGTATGCGCATGTACTTGGGTCGGGAGATCATGCCGCCCGGCGGGTCGCCCTGTGAGCGTTGACCGAGGGTTTTACCGCTGCTACCGTTGCTCCCGGCACCGTCACCGCCGCCACCTCTGCCGCCGTCGCTATTGCTGTGACGGTCGCCCTCATGTCCTGAAGGGCCCTGAATTCAGAACGGATCCAGCGCGGGGCGTGCCGGCGAAACGGGACGGTGGTCGGGAGGTCGCCATTTCCTTGCCGGTGTCCCGTGCCAGGATGGTCTGTTTGGCTTCGGATGTTCGCTGCTGGCGTTTTCCCCACCGTTCTACTCGACAGAAAACCACAAACACCTTATTTGTCCCTAGGTCCGAGACGGCCCGAGTCCCAGGTCTACAGCTTCGTACCCCCGCTTGGAAGTGCAACGACAGGTTTCATGGATTTTCCTCAACTTGATGGAACTGGAAGAGCTTCAATGTTCCACCAACGTTACGGGTTTTTACAAGCGTTCTCGGCGGAATGAAACTAATTCGTACTTTTATTTTGTTTACCGGCATGAGTCTGTGTTGCGCGTCAAGCTGGGCAGGACAGCCCAAGTCAACGCTTCTCTCCTAACAATTGCCATCGCGCTTCATTAGTGTTCCCGTTTAGTTTTTCTCTCCCAAGGGCGGCTAACAGCCTTCAATCGAAAAGCACTGAACGCAGCCGATTTTTTTTTTTTAACGAGCGTCCTGTTTAAAGGAGCGACTTTTACTAAGTCCTTAGAAGACGGCAAAACAGAGTTTCTATTGTGTTCCCCCCCGCCCCCCACCCCGTTGCACGATTATTCAGATTTACAAACCGCCTGATACCTGCAAATTTCCGCGTAGAAGCTCGATTCAACTCCCGCGCGCTCACTCAGCGTTTTTGTGGTCGGCGGCGTGTTGATGCGGGCTTGACGGACGACGATGATGAATTATTTCGCCCATCTCTCTCTCTCTCTTGTTGCAGCCGTCCCAATAACACCCCATGTGTTTTCGAGGAGTAAAAATATTCCTCCGCTGCTCCACACAGCCGGTGGGTGCAAATAAGTCGAGCGCAAAAAAAAATATAAAGGCCAGAGCGACGGATGCGTTTTTTTTTTTAAAGGAGCGCTGTACCACGAAACAGTCCCCGAGAGGTCTTAATGGAAGGAGTAAATTGCTTCCGTTCTCTCTGCTGCTTTCCACTTACTCTCTCTCTCGGTTTCTCTCTCCCTCAATCTCCCTCTCCTCTCTCTCCTTCCCTGTAGCTTTTCTCTTCTTTGCACTCTTGCCCAGCGCTACCTCCCCCCACCCACCCTCGAGCTCCGTTTGCCGCTCCTCCTCTGGCCCTTGTTCTTGTTTCTGCTCTCCCTTTCGCTCCGTCTATCTCACACGCTCGCTCGCTCGCCCGCCCGCTCGCTCGCGCTCCGTCACTCGCTCACTCTCCCCCTTGGCCCACGCATGCCCACACTCGCTGAGAGAAAGACTCGCACAATATTCACCCCCCCACCTCCCTCTCCTGTCCTCTCGCACTCCGCTCCGACAAAAAACCCAACCCAAGCCCTGGGTCTCCTCCTCTTCTCCCCCCCCACCAATCCCCCCACCCAACCCCCACACCCTATCCTAGCCGGCAACCACCTCACCCACCCTGGCCACAACTCCTCGCACCACTCCACGCTCACTCGCCCCTCTCTCCGCCAAACACCTTCGTTGCTCACTCTCAGTTGCCACCACCTCTCTCTTCCGGGTAGGCACCAGGATCAGCCTCCATTTCTCCACTCCTGCCCTCTGCATCCACCACAATGGGATCATTCAGGAGTAGTTTCCTCCCCCACCACCGCCGCGGCTCGAGTAAGTAAAACCCGAGTTCACGGACGGCCAGGATGTCTCCGCGCCTCCCTGTCATTCTGCCCTCCCAGCGGCGCAACAACGTTCAACACGATGGGAAGCCGCCACCCCAACCTGCACCCCGCCCCCCACGCAACCACCCCCCTCACACCTCCCTCTGCGCGCCCAACCCCCCAGCTTTCCCGGCCACCACCACCACCACCAACCCCCCCCTCCACCCACTGGCCATCATTCCACCCGGGCCAGCACCGCACGCACAAACCCCGCTGCCGCCTTCTTCACAAAATCTTTACATCCGCTGCATCGTTCTCTCGCCATGGCCGACACAAAGGCACTGTGTGTTTCTGCCGGTTGTTCCCCCCCCCCCCCTTTGCTTTGGGATTGAAGGGGCTGGGGGTGGATTTGTGATATATTTTTTTCTTCGGTTTTTACTTTTCAGCACATATGTCCCTTGATTTTTATTATTATTTAGGAACAACGCAGCTTTCTGTTTTTCTCTTCATCCCCCCCACCCACCACGACCCCCAACCGCTGCATTTGCATCGCACCGTTACAAACAACAAGGATGTAAAGGCGCATCGGCTCGCTAAAGGTAAAGGTGCAGCCCTGAAAGTGCCTTGCTCACGCCACTGCTGGCACAAGGGCCTCCACCAGATGGGAGCTCTGGAGCCCCCCCCTCGAGAGAGAGAGAGGGCATTTTGACCTCCTCCTTCACGCAGGCCAGACTTCTCGGGAAGAGGTGGGAGTACCCACACTTTACCCCACCGCATGCAACCTCCTGATCGACTTCCCGTGGATCAACACATTGATACCGCTGGGTGGACAGAGGCGGTGATTTAAGAAAACTTGCACCCGTTGTGTCAGCTGCAATGCAGGGAAATCTCTAACCAGCGACCTCTTGATTGAAAAATACAGTGTAGCTTCCCATCGTAGATTACCATCGGGAATTCTTAAACAAGGGATACATGCATGCAATGCCGTGTGTTGGAATCGATGTTTTTTTTTTATCACATGTATTTGTGGGGCTGCGGCAGTGCCTTAAAAGGTGTACGCACCGCGCTACAAATCCGGAGAATTTAGTTGAATTACCCAGCCGGGGCTAACATCAATAACAAGTGGAAATGACAATCCAAGCATCGCATTTTTTTATATCAATAATAAGGCACGGAGCAGGTGGCGCAGTGGTTAGCTCGCATCTTCACCGACACGTACTGGCAAGTGTACTGAAGTATAGTCAAACAAACCCCAGGGGAGGCCGTCACCCAGCACTGGATCAAAGACATCGCAGTATAGAACATCTAATTATTTTCACGTGTACATTCATCCGTCATTAACGATTAACTTTTTTTATTATGCAATTCCAAAAATATGCTCACGGTTGAGTGACTGCCCGTGTTACACGATTGCATGCACACACAGACACAAATACAAAGATCCCCCGTATAGCTTTAAAGGACTTTTGGGGCAAGTGCCATTAGCGAGCACCGAATGAAGGCCGGCACGGCACACGAAGGCAGTGGGTGGCCAGCACGAAGGCAGTGGGTGGCCAGCACGACACCCGCCCACCTTTGTCTCCCCAGTGCTGATGCTTACACACTGTGCCATGCACCCAGTTAAGACTGAGTCGATCTAGCAGAGGTCCAGGACCGGTTGAAATATTCACCACCGTTATTGCCAACCACTGCACTACCGTTCAACCGCTACACACACACACACGCGCACACGCACGTACACACTAATCGGCTCCCTCGTTTGTTGCATGCTAAACCCACCAGGGCCTGCCAAATGCTTGCTTGTGCGCCTGTGACATTCGCCACGGCGTTTCACAGCGGCACAGTGAATAGCAAGTGGCTGCCACGTTGACCGACTGTCCTCGCCCTCTCTTGCTCTCTCTCTCTCTCTCCCTCTCGCTCTCCCTTTCTCTCGCTCCCCCCCTCCACTCTCTTCCAGGGGGGGGGGGGGCATATTTACACTCTGCTCATGCTTCCTTCCGGCAGCTAGGGTTTCTTACAGCGCTGGGGCAACTGCAGAGCAAATACAAAACACGACCCAGCAGCCTCGTATCGCTCGCAGCAGCCCTCCCTCCGCTCGCGAAATGACGAGCGGAGCTTGCGCCATCATTGCATTACCCAAATGGTTTGGTCAATGGGCTGACGGCTCTGCTGGTGAGGTTGAAGACGCTGAAAACCGGGTCGGAGTTCGCTCGCGAAAGTAAATGCTGCCGAATAATAGCGATCTGGAAAGAACGGAACTTTAAAATATCGTTGTATTTTTGTATTTTATTTTTGCTCACAATGCTCCACGGCAAGGCAACACGAGTTCGCGTACACGGTATTGATTTTTGGGTTGAATTGCGGGTACCATAGTTTATATGGAGTGCTCTCGCCAATAATATCCGGAAATCCAGGGCCACTTGCTTAACGATCCTGACTGGTGATGAGACCCACAAGGTCGAAACAGGTCGAGGGTTTGCTTGATTGATAGCAATGGCCTGGAAAGCCGATAGGCTGACGGACTAAAACATATTTGCGCGTGCAGCATATGCGGCGGCAGAGAACGGAGTTCTACTTATACTGTACTTGCTTTCAACCAAAATGATTAATTAAAATGACAATCTCACCGTTGTTATCATCACCCAGGGGTCTATCAACATCACAAATTGCGCGTTGTCACCTCGTACCGCTAGGATCGCCAACGAAAACACTCCCAAGGGGACAAAAAACGCTCACTGGGAAAGCGTCACAGAATCCATGAGGCTGCATAATTTTTGTTCTCTTAATTGAGTATTCACTCCTCAATGTGAAATGTTCCTGCGTCGCTAAATGGCTTTCAGACCGGACCCTCCACCTCAGCATTGCAAGTAAATCTACGCCACCCTCTCTCACACTCCACGAGGCTCAAACCCACACAGACCCACACAACACACACACGCGCGTCACATTCCAACCAAAAGCCCCCCTAAAACTGTTGAACACTCAAGTTACGCGACAATGGAACACTCGATCTAATCATATATATGTGCGGGCAATCACATTAGTCGCTTCCGGCATTTGTTGCACAATGTGATTTGAGACTCCCCGGTCTGCGTGGGGAGGGGGGGCAGGTGGGGGGTGGAGCGGCGGGGGGGGGGCGACGGGGGGGAAGAGTTCCACAAAGGATGATGTCTTCCTTCACATCGTGTCGCACTGTCGATAACACTGTGCTATGGCCAACCGAGTGCGGGGAGTGGAGAGGAATTTAAAAATAGCACTGCAAATGCATTCATTAAATGCGCAATGAATAGATAAGATAGGTAGTGTGTGTGTGTCTTTGTATTATTGTGGCGGTAGTGGAGCGGTTGGTGCGCTGCGCTATAAACCCGGCGACCCGAATTAGATTCCCGTTCAAGGCCAGCACCAGCGACAATCATCTGAACCGGTCATGAGCCTCCCCTAGGCCGACTCAGCCTCAAATGAGTACCTGTGTAAACAGGGGGGACAAAGGTGGCCCGGCGTGGCACTGGCCACCCACCCGCTCGTGTGCCGTTCCGGCCTTCATAAGTGCTCACTAACAGCACTTGCCTCAACAGCCTGTTAAGGCTATACCGGGGGATCTTTGTCTTTGTATGTGGCGAATATATGAACTCGCCCTGGGCCTTTCCGAGGTCACCTCAGCCTTAAATTAATACCTAGTGTGATGTGTGAATATCAGGATTGTGGAGACAAAGGCATCTGGGCGTGGTGGTGCCGGCCACCCACCACCTGTACTGAACCTTCCCGCCTAGATAAATTCGGAGGTGTTAATCGCACCTCAGATTAGAACGGTTGGCTACGTACGGTGGGAAAAAAGTTCAACATACATGCATACAAATGAGTACCTGCTGCAACGTGTAAAACATCAGCACTGAGAGATATTGGTGGCCAGGCATAGTGTTGACCACACGACCCCATCGTACTCGGTTCTGGCCCCAATAGGTGCTTGCTAACGACACTTTCCCCAACAGTATGCACAGCTATAGCAAGGGATGTTTTGTTTTTTTGGTCTCTTTTTGTGCATGGTCACAGATCAAAAGTTGAAATTACCACTACTCTATATAACTAGTGCATTGCCACTACACACCAGCCGTCAGCAGTACTAATGCGAGCAGCTCCATTCAGTCCCTGAAGATCCCGCCAGCACGCGGAGCGAAACGTCGGGCAACGAGCCGATCGACGCGTGGAAACGACCCGAAAAATACACATTGGACAAAATGTCTGCGTTCGTGACAAGACCACTTCGGCAGCTGCAAGAAAGCAGCTAAAATAAAACCTTCTCTCTTGACACAGAGCGTACGAACGCAGAGCATATGAACAAATGAGAACACTTACGCAGCGGGAGCCCCCCCCCACCCCCACCGCGCCGCCCACCTTTGAGGGTTCATGTCCGGTGTTTCAGCAACACAAGTTAATTGATTGA